TCCCCAGGCAGTTGCAGGCCCCTTGAGTGGCTCAGAGAACCTTAAATTAATCACCCACTCAAAGGGCCGCCATCTGCCCAAGAATAATCACCTCTCGAAAGACTAAGAGCTCCGACATTCTGAGAGTATAGGCTCCTGCAGCAATAGGGACTGAAGGCAGACGCCCAGCAGGGCTGCCTCCACGGCAGGAACCAGGGTACTCTGGAGTAGGGGGAGGGGTAGCAGAGAAGGAGAGATCTGAGCTGCTCCAGAGACCCCAAAGGAGAACTCTGGAAGGAGAGAGCAAAGGGGCGTAAGGGGCAGGGGGCGGGGACAGAAGGCTGGCAGGATGGTCTATCCACTCTCGCCCCCTTCTTACAAAGACCAAACCAAAGGACAGGGACCAAAAAGCAGCAGCACGACAAATTTGGGTCACACTTCGCGACCTTCCCCATCACAAGGGCCAGTTCTTGGACACCAGTCTCCTCTACGGGCTGGGGCAAGGAGAAGCGTTATCCAAGCCCTGGGAGGCAGAAGGCCTGGGTTCCTGGCACATTCTACCACTGACTTTCCAGACGTGACCCTAGATGAGTATCTGCCCCTTTCTGTACCTCGGTGTGCCCAGCAGGACACCACAGGATGGACAGGAGGATCTCAGAGGGCCCTTCACAAGCAGCAAAGGCCAGCAACGTTCTACGAAGCCAGCCACATCGCTCCCAGGTGGCTCTGAGGCTGCCCGCCAAGGCGGATGCACAAATACACACGGGGGCAGCCTGCAGTGTGGACGAGTGAAGGTAAAAACTCCAGGAACGGGGCCACCTCTGTTCTGTCCTAGGGGTCTGGGCTGGGGCCGCAGGCCCAGGTGTGTGTCTGTGACGTCAGTGAAAGGGTGGCAGGAGTTGTGCATGAGATTTCTTTTCGTGGGATGTCCGCTGCATGTCCCTTTGTGACGTCCCCAGGCACGCATGTCCAAGCTGCAGCAAGTGTGTGCATGAGACAGACAGACGGGCGTGTAGTAGGGATATGTGTTTTGTGCAAAGCCTTGTGCAACACACGTTTGATTGCACTGGGTGAGGCTGGGCAGTTTCCGTTCAATTCCACAAAATCCTGCCACTGCCCACCCCCTGCTGCCTGGGTCTGGGTGCTGGGGACAGAGAGACCCATGACGCAGGGGTGCTGCTCCTGAGCAGCCTGGGGCCGGGCTGCATGCTGAAGCTGAGGTTCAGGAGAAACACAGCTCCGAGCCAGACCACAATTCTGGGCTGGGGCTCCTCCATGCTAACTGGGTGATCTCTCCTGAGCCTCAGTTTCCCCATTTGCCAAACGAGGAGGATAACAGCCCACTCCTCACCGGGCTGTTGATGGACACAAGGAGCGTGGTTTACAGAGAGTGCTGAGCAGGGAGTCCAGCATCGAGCTGATGCTCCACGCGTGATCAGAAGTTTCAGTTCAAACTCCAGGAGCCACAGCAGGGGGCCGCGGGGAGCAGGGGGAGGTCCCGGACAGGGAGTTGGGAGCCTTCTAGTCTGTTCCCACATCTGCCACTCATTTACCGTGTGACTTGGGTCTCCAGAGTCTCAGTTTTCTCATAAGCAAAATGGGGCCATCAAAATGTGAGGACCCACCTCCGGGGACGCCTGAGGGCTCTGGGTGTACTTTGCTGGGGTTATTTCCAACCAAGGCGACATTCTTTCTCAGACGGTCCGGGTGGGAGCTGGGGGGCTCCAGGGTTAGGAGTCTGAGGGCCCCAGAAGCTGCTGCCACCTCCTCCCCTCCGCATTCCCACAGCTCTGACCCCAGGGACAAGGCTGCCGGGGGATGTTTACAGAGCGTAAACCTTCACATAGAGAAAGTCTGCTGGGCAGCCGGGGGCTGGGAGCCGCGAGAGTGTCACAGTGGTGCAGGGAAGATGGGGGACATGGGGCTTTGCTCTGGACCAGGCCCTTCCGGGATTCTGACTTCCAAAGGGAGGCTGGGGTGGCTTGTAAGAGGGTGCAGGGAGAGGTGAGTATTCCCCCCAGAGGCTCAAGAAGCGGGATGGGCAGTAACGTGCTGTTTCTCAAAACTCAGAGAGCAGGACCTGTGACGGGTTGAGGGCTTACATCAGGGACTGGGGCGCAGGGAGGGGGCTGGGGCTTGGTGACAGGACCAAGGGCCTAAGGAGGAGGGAGAGCTCCCTCCCAGCAGTCCCTCATTCTGGATCTCACTACGGAGAAGACAGAAGTCAGCGGTTCCCATGTCCCAGAGGCCGCAGCTGCCGGCAGGAGACGGGGACCAGGGTTTGTCCTCCGGGCAATCTCCCACACCTTGGTGCCAGAAAAGGTGCGGGTTCTGCATGGGGCCCAGAGGGACCTGGCTGGCAGGTGCGAGGGAGGTGTCCCATGGGTGAACGGACTCAGCTCACCCCAATTCCCTCCTTCCTGAGCCCTTCTCTTCCAGGCTGTTTGGCTGGGGCCCCTCCTACCAGGTCCAGAGTCTCTGGAAAGGGGGTCCTAGCTAACTGTGCACATGGGACTCCCCTCACTCAGGCTGCCTCTGAGGGTCATTTGGGAGGGGGAAAGGATTTGGCTAAAAGTGCAGCGGCAGGACCAAAAGTCCGATAGCAGGAAGCACTTCCCGGCTTACGCAGGACCCCGCAGTGACTGAGTGAAAAACCTCACATCTGGAGCTCTGAGGGAGGTCCACAAGGTTGAGATTTCTCCCCACTTTCACGGCCTAGAGCTAAAGCTCAGAGAGGCCCAGCGATCAACCCAAGATCACACAGCACACCCGAAGTGGCCCGCTCTGACCTCTAAGGTGGATGGCAATTCCCTGAAATCCCTAAACATCTGGAGGTTTTCGTGCTGCATTTCCTTCCCCAGAGCTCCCGAGAGATGCCCTGCCCCGGCTCCTGGGGACAAGTGGTCAGAACAAGCTTGCCCCTGGCCAGGGCATTCCTGGCATGCAGAAAGGACAGGATGTGGGGCAAAGGTACCAGCAGATTTAGCTCCTGGAGAAGAAGGGAGGCCTTCCAGAGGAGGCGAAGACAGCGGCTGGCCAAAGGACACGAGGCGGGCCCTTCACCTCCAGTGACCCTTGCAGGGGCTGAGAGGCCAGACCTGGGGACTGAGGACCGCCACCTCACAGCCCTCTTGGCTTCCCCAGGCCTAGCCTTGTCTTGGAAAAGTCATCTCCCAAGAAGAGGCCATGGAAGATGCAGCGACTCTAGGCGGAGCATCTCACTCCTGCGCACCCCGGGCTGCGGTGTGGGCAAGGCCACCGCAACGCAGCCACTCTGAATCGGCAGTCCCCTGCCCCTCACCCCAACTTCACCGTCCCTGTACCCCAGCACAGACACTGCATCGCTCCAACAGCCCTCTCTGCTGCGAAAAATATTCACCCCAGGCCTGCCCAGTGGGCACTGGGGGGTTGGGCTCCTCCTAACCGTCGACCATTGACCCCGACCCTAAGCCTGACCTCATGTCCAGAGCACTCTCAACTCTCTGCCCGCCCCCCAGCCCAGCCAGAGTCTCTGCACAAAGTCGAGGCTGCACCCCCAGGAGCTTAATGGCCGAGAAAGTTCTCTTCCTCTGCGCTCCCTATGGCCAGGGGGCTCCTGTGCCCTCATTTTCCTCCCCTTCACCTCTGAAATTCTGTGGGCCCACTTAGGACGGGGCAGAGGCAGGCAAGCGGGCACCAGAGGGTCAGGCAGGAAGACAGACCAAAAGACAGGCAGAAACAAACAAGCAGAAGCAGCATGAGACAGTCAGGCAGACAGGCAGAGGGACAGGTGGACAGACAGGCACAGAGATGACTGGACAGGCCGACAGAGGGATGGAACAGAGACGCAGAAGGACTGTCAGACATTCAGGCTGAGAGAGGACGAGACAGGACGACTCACACACAGGCGGAAACTCAGTCGGGCAGAGGGATAGCGAGACAGGCAGAAGGACTGCCGGACAGTCAGGTGGACAGGCAAGGGGACCACCCAGGAGACCCCAAGACCAGAGGGCCCTCTCTGGAGGCGGCAAGAAGAGATTAACAGTGGCACATTTTCCAGGGACCGGCAGTCTCTCTCGGGCATTTCCGAACATCCCAGCGCCAGGCCCAGCCCTTCGGCTGATAGTGGGCCTCTCATGTTCCCGCCTGGGCCGGGCCGTCCCCAAGACTGAGCTCTGAGCTGCCAAAATTCACTCTTTGCATCCAAGAGGGGTCAGTGTTTTTGAAAGTAGTAGGAGGCTGCCCACGGAGAGGAGGGGGCCCCCCAGCAGCCTCAGTGTTTCCAAACCTACTCCTCTCCTCTTTCTTTTTCCCTCCGGGTGTCCAGAGCCAGGCTGGGTGCAGCGGCCAGCCAGCTGGGAAGGCCAACCGGCCCACCCAGCAGGACAGGCAGGGCAGACACTGCCTGCTAGGAAGTCGAGGGTGGAGGGGGACACCGGAGTGAAGACTCAGATAAGCTGGACAGCATGTACGTGTCAGGGCCCAGGTGGCTCCCTGGGACCCCCAAACACCTGCACTGGGCTGGGGTGCAGGCGGGCCCTGGAGAGGTGCATCTCCAAGGGGAGGCCAGGTGGGAGCCCACGGTAGCTACAGAGCTGGGGCGAAGGGGACAGACAGCGTTTGGGGGCCAAAGGGTCCTCTTTGTTTGTGGGACACAGGGAGACAGAGGTGAGAAAGAGGAAAGGGGAGCCCCACTTAGCGGCTCCAGATTACAGAGAGGATGGGGACAAGAAGCTGGATGTGAAGGGTACCTGGGACCGAGGAGCAGGGGTTGGAGACCAGACAGATATAAGGGTCTGAGGTGGGGAGGTGGGAAGCGAGGTCAAGCAGGCGTCAGGATTTGGAGATGGGGTTAGGGTTAGGCTGGGGGATCAGAAATCCGGCTCAGGCCTGGGAGGAGAGAGCCGAGGGTCGGCGTGGGAATGGGGGGCGGGAGGCGGAGCCGGGGCGGGGCGCCGTCCCCGGGGAGCCCAGGCTCGGGCCGGGGCCGCGCGGGGCGGGAGCGCGGGGGCGCGGCCCGGGACGCGGGGTCGCCAACTCACATGAAGACGTGGTAGACGAAGGCCCAGCCGCGGGGTCGCTCCAGCACGTTGTAGACCCAGTTCTGCAGGCGGCGGTAGCGCTTGTACGCGGCCGACGAGCGCTGGCCGCAGGCGGAGCCCGAGCCCGAGCCCGGCCCCGGGAGGGGCGCGCCCGGCGGCAGGGGGCTGCCCAGGAGGCCCAGGCGGCGCGGGGAGCCGCCCCCGCCCGCCTCGCCCCGCTCGCTCTGCACGGCCGTGAGCGCCACCAGCTCGGCGCGGGGGGCGTCCCCGGGCGGGGGGGCCAGGCCGAGGCGGCGCGGGGGGGCCTCGGCCATGGGCGGCGCCGGGCGGGGGGGCCGGGGCCCGGCTTCGCTCCGGGGCGGGGGCGCTCAGCGGCGCATGGCTCGGACCCGGGGCCGGCGGGGCGGCCCGGGGCGGGCGCGGGCGGGCGCGGGCGGCGGGGGCTAGGGGCCGGGCCGGGGCCGCGCCGGGGCCGGGGGCGGACGCTCGGAGCCTGGGGGCCGCCGGAGCCCGCGCTGACCGACCGCTTCCCCGGCGACTGGGGCGGCTCTTTCCGACTCCAACTCTCTTATTACGCGCTCCATGCCGCTCGCCTTTCCACCTGCCGCCGGCGCGCTGCTCACATGTCACCCTCCCCCGCCCCGCCCCGCCCCTCCCCCGGCCGCCCCCGCCCGCCCCGCGGCCGCCTTCCCAAATCGGGAGGGAGCGAGCGAGGGAGCGCGGCCGGGAGAGAGGGAGGGAGGGGCGCGCGGGGCAGGCGGCGGGCAGGGCGCCCCGGCGACGCGGGCCGCCGAGCGGGTGCCGGGACCGGAGGGCAGCGCGCGGGGCGGGAGACTGGCCGGTGCAAGGGGCGTGCACGGCTGCCTGGGGCCGGGCTGGGGCTGGGACGCCTCGTGTGTGGTTGTGGAAAGTGGGGCGTGGAGTGTGGAGTTGTGGCCACGGTCGTGGATGGGACTCGGCGCCCTGTGGAGTTGAGGTGCGCGTGGATGCGGAAGTGTCTGCGCGTGTGTGCAGAGGAGGTGGCTGGGGGTCTGCGAGGGGGTGGCATCGAGTCCTTGGAGGTGTGGGTCGTGGGTACGGTGTGGATGGGGGTGAAGGTGTGTGTGCAGAGTCGGGGCCCCGCTGGAGGGCGGCGGTGTAAGCGATGAGGGGTGCCCCGTCGAGTTGCGCCCTTTGCACGTTGCGCGGGGTGTGTAAAGTGTGCCGGTGCTGTGTGCGTCTGAGCGAGCAGCTCCTACCAGAAGGGCCTGGTGCCCAAGCGCTGCGAGCTGTGTCAGAGTGTGTGGAGCACAGGGGGGCCTCAGGTGTGTCCGGTTTTCCCCCCACCCACCCCCACCTCTGAGCTTCCCTTCTTCATGAGGCCCCCAGTGAGGCCAGCCTGCCTCAAAGAGGAGCCTCCTCTGATCCAGGGGCCTGCTCCCTGCCCACCCAGTCTGAAGGGCCCCTTTACCTCGCTCCCAGGTCAGGGGACCGGGTTCACAGTATTGGGAGGTGAGCTCTTAGCCAGCCTCTGGGCTAGACATCCCCTTGCCCAGAGGCCACAGAATCCCACGCAAAAAAGGAGGAGACTTTCTCCAATGGCACTGGCTCTCCAGCTGGGAAGTTCTTGGTGCCTGACCTCCCTCAAGCTGTAGGTGTAGGGGGCGGCCCCTTCGTTTCCTTAAGCCCTGTCGCCCTGCGCGCAACGGTAATGTGGGTTTCACCATCCTCCTTCCCTCTTCTCCTGCCCAAAGCTTTGGCCACACCAGCTGCTCCCTCCGCAAGCCCTGCCCCAGGGTGAGGCGCTTCTGCAGCAAACTCTTCCCGGTTCCTCCGGGAGGATCTCGGGGGACAGAGTTGAGCGGGAGGGGCTAGGGAGGGGGCGGGAAGGCGAGCTCGATTCTCAGCTGTCAGCAAAGGCAGCATTGATCTGCTGAGCGCCAGTGGGGGAGGGAGGGAGGCAGCGCTGCGGGAGGGCAGGGAGTGGTTTGCAGGAATGGGGGGGGGGGTGTCCCCAAGTGGGCTTGGCAGCCGGCCTACGCTCCTACCCCGATAGTGACTGTTTTGCCTCTGCAAAGCAGCGGGGCCTTCTGGGGTCTGACCTGAATCGCTCCCCCTGCTCCGGGCTCTGGGTGCTCCGGGACAGAGCCTGGTGCCCCTGGGCAGGTGATGCCCGGTCCTCACCAGCAGCTGGGAAAGGTCTCTGGACCCCAGAGCCCAGCTATGGATGCAGCGCTGGGGCTAGGTTAGCCCATCTTCTCCCTAGAGATGTGGCACTGCCCTCCCAGACTCTGGGGGCCTGCCTGTCTGGGCTTGGTCAATCAGGGGTCCTGGGAGATGAGACTGGGTCTAGGGACTTGCATGGTGGGAAGGACAGCAGTTGTAAGGGATCTGGGGTGTTCCTTGGGTCTTTTCGAGGCTCTTCTGCGGCAGAAATGGCACTTGAACCCACGTCGCCCTTATCAACACCCAGAATATCTGAAATTGGGTCTGTTCTGGGAAATCTCATCCTGAAGCTCAGCATCACCCCTGGACCCCATGCCTCTCTTCCCATTTAGAGGACTGCAACAGTCCCTTCCTCTCCCTGTGAGGAGCCCCCACTGTGGGGGGAGGGTCTCTCATCATCTTTCCCAACTCCAGCTCCAGGTTACCCCTCAACAGCAGCAGCAGGAGGAAAGAGACTGTGGTTGCAGCTAGAGGGATGGAAGTTAGAGCTCAGGAAGGACTTTCCTAGAGCACAGAGGTCTGTTTCTCCCACAGGTGCCTATGTGGTGGAGGGACAGGCCCACTACTTTTTAAAGTGGAGAGACATGGAATGCTTTCTAAGGGGTGAGGGGGAAGATGATTCTAGGAGGCCATAAGCAAAGTTTAGTTGGGGTGAGTGTGTGTGTGTGTGTGTGTGTGTGTGTGAAGCGTGCGTGTGTGCAAGCTCATAGGGGAGTGGAGGAGGCAGAGGAAAGAGTTTGGTTCAGAGAGGACAGGTGGCCACTCTGCGGGTCACCGGGCACCCTTCCTGCCCCCATCCGGATTCCCAGGACATGACCGGGAGGATGGACTTTCCCCACCATGGCCTTTAGTGACTAAGACACTTTTCTGAGCAAACAGCTGTCTCAGGCTCTCTCAGCCAGCCCCGCTCCTGGAGGAGGGGGGAGTGCTGTGGTTTTCCACCCTCCTCCCTCACTCTCTCCCACCTGTTCCCTTCACCCTACCCTCAGCAGCTTCCTTCCCACCCCCCAGCTCCCACCTCTCTCCCTGGTAACACTGCCAAATCGTCCCCACTCTGCCCAGACTCACTCACTGTCCCACCTGGGCAAGTCCCTTCCCCGCTCTGGGCTTCAGTTTCCCATCTGTACAACTAGAAGGGAGCAGGGCTCCAAGATCTCCTGTACTTCATCACTGTCACCGTCATCCATCAATGGAGCGAGTATTGATTGAGAGCACGGGTGGGGAGGGAGAGAGCTCCCATTTGCCGAGCACCAACGATGTGCCAGGCCCTGCCCCTTCTGGGACTGAGAGCAGCCCTTTGCACATTGAAAAAGCTGAAACTCAGAGAGGTACAGGGACTTACCTAAGGATACACAGCTAGTGGGTGACCCCAGAACTGTCTGTGACTTGTCCTCTCCCTGGGCTGGCACCTACCTACTGTACACTGGGACCTATGATCAGGTGGGGAGCTGAGGGGAACAACAGATGGCCCAATCCTTGTTAAAGGACTCTCTCCTGTAGGGGTAGAGACTCCAGGATCTGAAAGAGTTGAGGTCTGGAAGTGGCTCAGACTAGGGGCTGGTCATTGATTCCCAGTGTGACCACAGGTCAACCAAGGGTGCAGGTTCCTTTCTCGGAGCAGCAAGGGGGTGGTTTAAGTCAGTGGTTTTCAGACTTTATTAGCAATGGAATCCTTTTCCCAGACAGAATCGTAAGGTAACACCCCAACGTGTAAAAGTCATTCAAGCAGAGGGGTTCTGGTGGAATGGAGGTGAGGGGGTCAGGTTCCACCCAGCAGACCTCCTCCTCCTTCCTCTCCACACCCCCAGAAGCGCCCTGGGTTTTCTTACAGCTGTAAGGGCTGGTAGCAGTGAGAGGAGGTAGAAATCTCCACAGGCAATGGCCGAGGGGGCCTCCTTGGGGATGGGGTGGGGAGGACTTTGAGAGGTGCAGAGAAGTGCAACCAATAATGCTTGCAGCTACCATCAGTGCGGCCCATGCTAAATGCTGAGCCTCTGGGCAGGATGCTTTCCCTGCCTTGTCTATCGGCATCCCAGCAGCCCTGTGAGGTAAGACTGTTCCCATCTCATTATACAGACAAGAAGACTAAGGGTCTGTGGAGAGACTTGCCGAGTGTAGCTGTTCAGCCCTGTGCTGTGCTGCATGTGTGTGTGTGCAGGTGGGGCGTCGGGGTGGGGAGGGTGTTATAGAGCATGGGGGAGGAAGAGCAAGCTTGGCAAGGGGGACACAGGAGGCCTGGAATGCTAGGCTGAAGGGTCCAGTTTGACCTGAGAGGAAGCAGGAAGCCTGGCGAGTCCTGAGCCTGGGCATGCTGAAGAGGCTGGGGCTCTGCAGGAGAGAGCTGAGGAGGGGAGGAGTGGGAGGTTGGCAGTGCAGGGCCAAAAAACACTGAACTACAAGTCATGGCTGGGCTTCCTGGCTCTACCTCTGGAGTAGCTGGTGACCTTGGGCAAGTCACTCCACCTCGCCCCACCTTCCCCAGCTCTTGCCAGGACTGAGTGCAATAATGCGTGACAAAGTCATGATCATACAGACATGAACCATGGATTCACTGTTCTTCAGGTGTGGGTTCGGGTGGAAAGGCGAGATGCTGTGAGAATTCTCTAGTCCTACCAGCTCTTCTCAATCTTGGAGGGCTTCCTAGGAGGAGGGGATGGGAGTGGAGAGTGCTCATGGGGTAACAGCATCACATCCATTATTCACCTCTAGGGATCCACGTCCACTGAGAGCAGGAGGAAGTCTGAGAGAAAGACCAAACTTGCTTCCTTTCACAAGGTGACCCAGAGAGGACAAGAGACGTAGGCCACACAGCAGGTGAGAGTTGCTGGAGGGGCTCGGGGAATTTCTCTCCCCCCAGATCTGGGTGTGCCATCGAGCTCTCCCCAGCCCAGACCAGTTGGCCTGCTGGGCCAGTCAGCTCCCAGCCAGAGGAAGTGGGGAAGGAGGAGTGCGCTGAGCTCAGTGAAAGTGAACCCCCATTGATCCTCAGGGTTGGGGGGGGCCCACAAAGAGGAGACACTGAGGGAGAAGAGTGTGGAAGTGAAGGTCAAAGCCATCCCTTCTCATACAGCTCCTCCTTTGCCTTCAGGATTCTTCCTCCTTGACCCCAACTCCTAGGAGACCATGCAGAAGACAACACTATTGTGGTCCTTCTGGGAGGCTCCACGATCTTTGAGAGCCACTGGGACAGTGGAGTCGGTTGGAAAATGAGGAGGAAGGACTTTTCGGAGTTGCCAAGAGTGCAATGGAGGAAAGCTACCCTGCTCCCCACCCCCTGGTGGGAGAAACTTGGATGTAGGCTCAGGGAGGGAGAGGATGTGAGTAAGAGGGACTGCAGATGGAGCAGCGGGGAAGGGGGTTCAGAAAAGGGGTGAGGCTTGGTAAGGGACATAGGGGTTCAGGGAGGAGAATGGGAGCTCAGAAAGGAGGCTAGGGGCTCAGGGACAGGGCTGGGAGGCCCACAGAGTGGGACTTCTAGGTCAAACACTTACTGAAGTCCTTCCTCCTTAAAATATTAGACATACAAGATAAATGCTGGATAATTTTTAAAAAATACATATCCAAACTCAAAAGCAAGAATGAGAAATCTCTAAGGGCCAGAAATGAGAGGGAATTCCAGTGGTGAGCAGGTGAGCAGGAGTTGAAGCTGTACCTCTGAGAAGGGGTTCAGTTTTCCAGAGGGATGGGAAGTGTAGTTCTAAACCCCACCAGTGGCAGGGGCTACAGTAGGCTCCCTGCTTAGAGCTGGGTCTGGAAATGTGCTGTCTGCCATAAGCAGGACTAAGATATCTCTGCCTGCTAGCTACCTGGCCCTGGCTTTGGATAAAAAGCGTACCCATCTGAGTATGACACCTCAAGCCTGTCCACATGGGGTGTGGGTTCAGGATTTGATATCCACACCATGCCAAAATCCCAAGGCAAGACACTAATGTAAGAGCCAGTTTGGGGCTGGTGCACTTCCACATGGCTTGGGCAGATACAACTGAGAAATCATCCCTTAGGGTGGCCTCTTTATCCCAGGGCACAATCAGGAAAATGTGCCAAAAACAACTATCTCAAGGATAAACTTCACAACACATAAGAAGAAGACGTCTTTCTCAAGGGAGAATGCATACTTAAAGACCTAGAGATAATGGAGCAATCTGAAGGAAGTTTAATATAGTAAAAATCTTCAAGAAGGTAAAGGAAGGAACAGCATCTGTAAAACAAGAACAGAAAGATATCAAACAGGAACATGTAGCAAATATGACAAGAGCTATCTAGAAATTTTAGAAATGAAGACTAAAGTCACCGACGTTAAAACAAAATCAGATGTGTTAGTAAATACAGCTGAAGAGAGAATTAGTGAATTAGAAGCTAAGATTGAAGAAATCCTCCTCAGGACAACAAAGAGATTAAACATATGAAAGAAAAGAGACATAGCAGATAGAATGAGAAACTCTAGCACATATATTATTAGCTCCAGAAAAAGATACTGGAAAGAGTGACTAGGCTCTTTCCAGAAATAAGATGTGAATTTCTAGATTTAAAAGGCCCATAGACTGCCTACTAAGATATTTTTAAAAACAAAACAAAACTACATCTAGACACCTTGTAGCCAAAGTGTAGAATATCAAGAATAAAAAGGAAATTCTAAAAGCCACCAGAGAGAAAAGATAGCTTATCTACACAGGTCCAATAATTGAATTGACAGTAAGCATCTCATCAGCAACAACAGATGCCAAAAGACAATGGAATAGTATCTTCAGAGTGCTGAGTGCAAATAATTGTGAACCTAGAATTCCATACATTGCCAAACCATCATTTAAATAAAGGGCAAAATATAGACATTTTGACACATACAAGATCTTAGAAAGCTCTGTCCCATACACCTTCGCTGAAGGAGATGTGCACAGGAGGATAGGGGAGGGGTCAGGAGCTGGAGGGGTGATGGAGCTCAGGGCTGCAGAGAGGCTGGGCTGTTTTGGACCTCTCCTCAGCACCAGCTGGCCAGAGGAGCCCAGCCCAGCCTGGCCCAGCTGGGTGCCAGCCTTGCTGTCCTCCTATGCCCCCTTCCTGGGCCATGGTAGTGGCCCAGCACCTAAGCAGGGAGGTAACACTGCCAGCCCGGCTCAGGGGACCTTGAGGAGGCCACGACCAAGTTGCTCATGTGACCAGACACTTGACCTCCACCCTAGGGTCCTCTCCTCCTGAGAGGTCAGATGCCACCTTACAGAGGCTTATGGATGGCTAGAGTGGTGAGACAAAGGGTAGGTCCCTACCCAGGAGTTGGGGGTGGTTTGTGTTCTCATTCTCTGTAGGCAAAGAATCACAGACAGAGAGGACGAGACCGATGGGGCTAAGCCGGCTGGGACAGGCGGCTTCTTGGAGCATCTGGCTCCACTCAGCCAGTTGGTGCTCTTGGGCAATTTCTCAGCCTTTTTGAGCCTCAGTTTCTCACTTATAAAATGAAGAGAATAATACCCACCTAATGAGGATGTGCAGAAGAAATGAGATAATCCATTTGGGTACGAAGCTTTAGATCTATTTTCCCACACAGAAATTTCTTAAAAGAATAATCTCCACCTATTACCCCTGCCTGGCATATTATCAGGGCTCAAGAGAAAATTAACAAGAAAAATGCAGTGGTGACAGCAAACCAGCAGAGGTGGGATGGTGTGGGTGTGCAGTGTTGGAGGCTGGTCGGCAGGGAAGGGCTCACGTTTGTTCGCTCCCTCCTCGGTTACTGTTATTCTCTTGCTGCCAAGCCCTGTGCTGGGCTCTGGAGGCGCAAAGATGACCCTGAATTGGAGGAGGACTGTCTGTAAGGAAAACAACCAAAACTAGAAAATTCTAACCAAGTGATAAGGGGTTTCTTCAGGTCTGTGTTTGTAGTCTCTCTCCCATTCCCACCTCTCCCTGTGCCCCCAACCCAATGTAAGCTCCATGAAAGCACAAACCTCCTCTGACTTGTTTTCAGCTGTCTTCACAATGTTCAAAACAATGTCTGACACACACAAAGTGCCAAAGAAATATTTGCTGAATGACTGTGTATATCAGCACAAATAATAGAGGCTGTAGAAGTTGCTTCGGGAGCATTGAAGAGGTCTTCGATAACTCTGCCTCAGGAGTTAGAAGTTTCTCAGCAAGGGGCATTTAAATGGGGACTTGATGGATGTATAGGAGATCAATAAGTGGAAAAGGAAGTAAAAGGATGTTCCAGGCATTGGAGCCAGTACATTCTGAAAACATGGAGGTGAGTTCAGGGGCCAGTGAGTAATTGTGACAGAAGCATAGAGTGTGGGAGAGAGGAGAGTGGAAAGACACAAAGTTGGTGAGATGGGAAGGGCAGTGAATTAACTTGGGCTGTCAGAAAGTCCTTATTAAAATCTAACCACCTACCCTGATGTAATACTCTGGAAATGGTAGTGTTTCCAGTCCTGTTGCCCTAGGGAGGCCCCTCTCTTTAAAAGTTAAGGGTCTTGTCTGGAAGAGGGTTAAGGATCTAGTACCTATTGAGAAAGGGGACAGTCCTACCCCCATAGCTCCTAGAATTGTCTCAAGTTGGCCAAGGGTAGGACAGGGCACCTCCCAGTCTTGGGTGAGTTCTGCACGCTGCCCCCTTGTGGCTCCGGCAGAACTGAGCAGCAAAGAGGCCGGCGAGGTGGTCTGTTCACAGTAGGGGCCCCCAGTCTCCTACATTAGCCTCCTGGAAAGTTAACCCAACCACCCGCTGTCCACAGACGAGACCCAACTGCTTTATTTATTCCACATCAGCTAGTGGGTTTGGGGAGGCAGAGTAAAGGGAGGCAGGTCACATTTTGTAAAGCCTTGTTCTTACAGCCTCACCCCCCACCCCCTTTGGCCAGCTGAGTGTGCACAGGGAGTCATGAGACCAATGTTTTGGTTTCAGCTCCGCCCCTCTTCATGGAGTGACCTTGGGCAAGTCACTGTGCTTCGCTGGGCCTCCCATGTCTCCATCTGTAACACAGGATCACAATCCCTCTTCCTGTCTCCCCTGCAGGGTCATTGTGAAGATCATTGGGAGGACGGATGCTGCGAGTGCTAGGAAAAGTGTCTACAGAATGCTCCGGATGTAAGGGGATCGTGCTGGGTATTAGATAGGGGCTCTCTTGGGCTGCACCAAAGTGTTTGTTTACACCCTGATGGGCCTTGCTGGCGGGGAAATTTAAAGGGAACGTGCTCAGCAAGGAAGCTGCTTGCCAATCACAACTGATCGAAACATCTCCAAAATAAGAATGGACGTCTATGGGAAAATGAGGACCCATTGACTAGCCTGATACTCCACTACATTTGGGTTTTCAAGGATGAGTCGAAGAGCAGTAAAGTGGGACAGTGCTGTGGCCTTGATAATGGGGGGTTAGCTAGGAAATGAAATACCTGAGCTTCAAACTATTCTCTGAGGCCAGCAGCCCTTGCGTGCACTCGCACTTGCTCTCTCTCCACGTGGGGCTGGGCATGCGGCTAATCAGTGAATAGATACTTGGCTGTCTCACTGAGATGTATTTGGGTCCAGGCAGTGGGAAAGGCCAGATGATCCCCTGCAGAGAAAAGTCCAGAGCTAGAATAAAGATAACGGGATACAGGACAAGGGGCATTCAACTTGGGAGTCAGAAGCCTGTAGGGCTGCCCCAAACTCAGTCACAGGGGCAGACCTACTGACTTCTCATGGTGACAGTCCCACCTGCCTCACCCACCCTGATGATACTGGAGGGGTACCATGTAGTCAAAACCTTAAAACCAGGAAAACCTTTGCTTTTGCAAAAGAATGTTATTTTTCTTCCTTTTATAGTGTGAATCTCTTACCTGGTCCGGTCTCTTTGTTTTGGCGGCCAGGAAGCCCAGGATCAAAGGTGAAACCTAATTCTAACAACTATGTAGGTTTTTATGGCCAGAGTATTTGTGTTCTTGTTTTCTAAGATCCTGATTTCCTACTCAATTATATTCTTCCTTCCTAGACAAGTAATTCTAATTTGTCATATTTTATTTCATTGTGTACTGTTTTCAAGGTAAGCCATCTTAATTGTTCTGGTGGAATAAGGCAACGTACATTTAGGTAAATGGTTGAAAATGGAATAGATGACAAAGATATCCAAGTACTTGCCATGGTTGACAGTGGTGGATATTTGGGGAATTATAAGGGCATCAGGGTCAGAGTTGAAACCATCTAATATTAAAGCCTCTTCCCCATCAACGCCCCCTCTCCCCCCAGTGCCTTAAAACAGTCCCAAAAAGAAGGGAATTGCCCAAGGTTTTATGGCATATTACTGTCAGAGAAGAAATTAACACCTACTTTTCTTGGCACCTAGTTCTCTGCTCTTCCTATGACAATAGGCCTCGTTCTAGCTGAAAGGATGGCATTCTGAAGGTAAGAAAGATGGCTCACCACTGGCCTCTACAGCCAATGAGGAAGTGAAATGCTCTCTTGAGTCTTCCTGCTTCAATTAATAGGAAGCAGGCCCTGGCTGTAGAACCCTTCTGATATGCTGGCTGACAAGGGGCTTGGGCTGCCCTCCATGGCAGATGCCCCTGGCCATGGCCACAGCAGGCATCTCAGAGTGCCAGCCTACGCCAAGGCAGGAGTGGAGGGATTTGCTTGGGTCCTTGTTTGAAAGACAGTGACAGCTTTTCCCATGAGATGCTCTCTGGACTCTCAACCAAGGAGCCACAGCTCAGTCTGGCCCACATGTGGTCGTCCAGGAAGTTAAGGCAAGCAGGCACCTCGGAGCAGCAACTAGATTCTGATGAAGTTCATTTTATTTTTAAAATAAAGCTGGAGACCTCAGTTTGAATCAGATATGCAGTGTAAATTCCCTTAGCTTTGGACATCCCCTCCTCCCTCCTTCAGAGACACCCAACCTGAGGGCAAACAAACCTTTCCAAGCCTTTCCCAAGGAAAGTGGCCCCATAAATGCCCCCTGACACAGAAACCCAGACTCTAAATTATCTAAAATGAGATTTATTGCATTTCATGCAGTTTGAAGTCCATGCAGCAATGGAGACTAGCACAATTTTTAATGCATTTTAAAAATAAAATAAAAAATGGGTGGGTCGGGGGAGGCAAATGCACAAAGTTCTAGTCTCCTTGGGTCCCCGGGAGATAAGGGTTTGGGAATGAAACCATCCACTCTCTGTGGTGAATGAGTTCATCTCTTAAATGCAAGGAATGTTTCCACGGCCTCTGGATTCAGATGTTGCTAGGGCAACAGCAGTGCATGAGGAGAGGACTACTAGTGAAAAAGAAGCTACACGCGGTCACCTAATTTAATCTGAGGGCAGAACCGGGTGGCAAATCCTGGGGGCAGCAGCTGTTCCAAGAGTCAAGAGATAACATACACCCCCGAAGAGATTTGCTTCTATAAAGAAGTGGCGGTAAGAACCAAAAAAAGGAAAACAAAAGAAATATTTCTTCAACCACACTCTTCAAGAAAATGCCATAAATATGTTATTTAATATTTTCATTTCATAGCATTGGACACACAGCTCAACATATTGAAATATTGATTCCTTGGAGAAAAAAAGGAAAAAAAGAAAAGGAAATAAAAAATATTGCATCTTTCTGTTGGAGAATCTCGGCCCCCAGGCGTGGGGCGTAGTGCACCAGTGTCCTAGCCTGCAGGAGGCGCTGAGGTCGGCTGCGTCCTCTGGGGAGGGACTCTGTGCCCATCGCCCGGGGCTGTATGGCAAAAATTGTGTTGGGTGTCCTTGGCCTTGCCAGCTCAGGCCCTCAGTCGCCGGTCACCTGGGGGGTCTGCCCGTCGGAGGGCTGGTTGGCTGACTGGATGAACATGGGTTGGGCGAGGTCCTGGCCGGCAGGCATGGTGACTTGCTGGATCTGGTAGAGCTGCTGCGAGGGGTGGAGAGGAGAGAGTGAGGTCACCCCTGGGAGAGGGGCATGCAGCTCCCTATGGGCCTCGAGTTGGTTGGGGGCCCCAGATACCTCAACCACCACCCACTGCAAGGCGTCAGAGGGAGGAGGGGATGTGGAGCTCTGCTGGGGTTGGGAGCAGCAGACACAGGAGGCACCACCCCGGTGTGAGGGGCTGTGTGTGGTGGGCGGGGAAGAGGTGCAGGGAGTTGCATTTCCTGTGGCTTTCACTTCTCTGGGCTCTGCCTCTCCCGTTAGCTCAGAGCCTCGAGCTTGCTGCACGCTGTTCCTCTGTGACAAACACAAGCAATTCGAACCACTGTACCAGCAGCTTGGAAGTCAGCATTTCCCCAACTCTCAGTAATCCTCACTGGCAGAGGCAGCAGGATTACCCCCTCTCCTCCTGTCCTCAGAACATCTGGCTTAGGTGGAGGCTACACTGAACCTGCATTTCCTACACGGGCCCAGCTGACGAGGTCACCTGGGATTAAGCACTTACTACAGCCAAGACCAGTGAGGGACGGAGAAGATGCTCACATAGCCACTATGGAAGGTTAGGGCCAACTGGACACTTGATTCCTCAGGTGTCCCTAAAGAAACCAAAAGCCAAGACCCCCTGCCACAGGAGTGCTGGCATGTGAGCTGAGCACCTGGTGCTGGCAGAAGCCAGAGGTGGGTCCTGCTGCCAGCTCCTCTCCCTTCTGGGCAGCAGAGAACACAAGCTTGGGCATGTCTCTGGGACTGAGTGTGAGGGGAAAGGCAGAGGGAAAAGGGAAGATTCTTTCCTCGCGCGAGTTTACAACTACTGAATTCCAGGCACCGAGAGAGCTTGAGAGGGCGAATGTTCTCTGCATTTCAACTAGTCCGTGTTACTAAAAAGCAGCATGGCTTAGAGAAAAACTAGTCCTACAGAGGATGCATTCTAGTCCTGGTTCTGCAATGAACAGCTGAGTGAGCAGACAAGGCACTTCCCATCTCTAGGGCTCAGTCTACTATCTGTACAATCGGGATTGGGGCTATGTAATGTCTAAGATTATTTTCAGCTCCCACAAATCTATAAATCTAAAGGATAGGTACCCTGATTTAAAGACTGTTCTTATTTTAACAATTTCTGTCCACTCGTTAACAGAAGATGGGACAGTTTGCCCTAACCATCCAAACTCACAGATATCACCCACTACTCCCCACAACTCCTCACCCTCTGCCCCTCCCCAGGCTGGGTGTCCTACCTGTCCATCTGTGAACTGGCTGAACTGCTGCTGTCCTTGCTGGACCTCTGTCTGTGTGATCTGTAGGAATCAAGATGACAGAGCAGGCATGTCAGCTGCAGGGTCTCGTCCACCAGCCCACCACCAAGGAGAGAGTTGTGAAGATCAAATGAGACAATGCATATAAAAGTGCCCAGCAGGAGAACTGGCATTGAACACATGCTTGATGAGTAGGAGGAGAGCAGGGGTCCCTCTTCGCCCCCCAGCACTGATGGCTACTCAGAGCCGGCACCACGTAGAGGACCGTGGAGCATGTAATACACTACTTCTACAAGCATCTCTTGTAATGTCCATCTACTCTCCCGCCTTCACTGCAAGGTCTTTCTGGGGCTGAGGCTCAAGCCAAACAAAACACCTTGCTCCTAGGCGCCAACATGACAGAGCATAACATTTATGGTTTAGGCAGAAACCCTAAGAGTGTCTTTCAGCCAGTGAAGGCAGGTTGCAAAACATTAAGCAAGGAGCCAAGTGGTCTCTTTCATTCTTAGAAGGTGGGCTCCAAACCAAACCCCTATCACCCAGATTATCTGACTGGAATATGAAACACCCTGGCGAGCAGGTGGCCTTGGCCCTGGAAGCCCTTGTGCCAAACCCATGAAGTACTTTTTCCGAGAGAGGCCACGTGCAGCCCTCTAGGCAAGGGGAAGGAGGGGCAGCAGGGGTGGAGGGGGCGGTAGCAAGGAAAACATTTATCACATGTACTTAAAATCTTATGTGGGGATTTTCAAAGAAATTTACTGACATGTAGCACTGCATCATAGAATGCCAGCTGCTGGAGACAACCTGGGAGACTAGAAAGAAGACTGACATGTGCCTGTGTGCCTATGTGTATCTGTGGAACATTTGGCTAGTAACGTCCTCTGTGTACCATCTCCTGCAATCATCACAGCCAACCTGCAAGGTAAGGACTGTCCTCTCGAGTGTCCTCACAATGGCCAAAAATCACCGATCAGGCCTGCATGTGAGGCTGTGAGGAGCAAGAAGGGGACGATGGGAAAGCGCCTCTGACTCTCTCAGGTGTGAGGGTTTCTTGCAACTCTTCCTGTTTTGGGTCTATCTCCTCCCACCACTCTATAAGCTGCTTGAGGGCAGGGGCTAAGTTTTGTCTTTACGCTTCTCAGTGCAAAGGAAGTATTCAAGAAATGTCTGCAGAATAAATGAATGACCATGAGACAAATGGAGAAGATTCCTCATAGATGAGGTTAACTGTGCCCTGTGGCCAGCAGGAGTGCCCGTCACATAAGCTGAGAAGAAAGTTTCATTTACCTTTAAATTCCATTTACATTATTACTTATTCAGCATTCATTCAACAAACATTTATGAGCACCTACTAAGTACTAGGTTGTCACAATTACAATCTGTTGTTATGCAGACTCTGACAGCCCCCAGGTGTATCTTCTTGCTTCTCTCCCACCTCTCTGTACATCCAACTCTCCCTGGCTTTAGTTTCTGGTCCCAAAACTGACCTCCGGGAAACCAAGAACTCTTTTCATTTCCTCCCACCCCCATGCCATAAAAGGTTTTTGGACCCCAGGTTAGAATCTTACAAGTTTTTCTTTTTAAAAAAAGAGAGACTCAGAGAGGGGAGTACCAAAGGGGTGGTAACCAGTCTTGAGATGTGATTCCGTGTCACTGAGCCTCAAGGAAATTAATGAAAAGCCCAAGTCCTTCTGCAAGCCAAGGAATGGATTTAGAGTGGACCCTTTAATGATCCCAGAGACTATACGGAGCTCAGAAGCCTTGCTTTTGGCTCATTCCTGCTATTTTTCCAAATGAGATCTTTAGAGGCCTGCTCTACAAACTCAGCTCTGTCACCACTGTCAGTAGACACATCACCAAGAACGCAACAGGGCCAGACAGGTCCAGCTCTTAAACGATCGCTGCTTTTTTTGGGTCTGAGGCAAAGGAATCCGATAGCAATGCCTCCCCGTGACCAGCATCCCCCATCCCCTACAAATGATGCCCACATCCCTCAACCCCCAAGCTCAGGGAAGCAGCCCCCTGAGCACCTGTGGCCCATGGCCTTCAGCGTCTCGGGGCATGAGAGCAGATGAGGGGTCCACGAGGAGGTAAAATCTGAGCAAGCTGTCCAAAGGCAAGGGGGGGTGCCAGAACACAACAGCTCTTCGGGTTTCAAGATGGAAACTCAGCCTGACTAGGAGGCAGTCTGTCAAAACGCTTCCTCTGGTCAGACATGCACACAGAGACATCAGGCTTTCTTCAAGTATCCTTGAGACTTCCTTTGCCTTGCATTTGTGTCCCTTGAGAAGATGATGCTAAGAGAGACATTTTGAATCCAATCCTCCAATAAACCCCATCTGCTCCTTGGGGTGCAGAATAGATGTGCAGGGTGTGGAGGGAAGATGAAAGATGAGCTGGTGGGAGGGCTGCGTGCTGAGCACTCCTTTCCAGTTAGAAGCCAGCTCCTGCTGGTCCCCAACTCAAGCCCTGCACCTCTGTGGCACATACCTGTTGAGCATTGGTGGCAAGCGTCTGGATCTGTCCCTGCACGACTTGGGTGCCTGATACAGGCTGGGCTAAGCGAATATACTGCAGCTGGCCGGCATTCAGCTGCACCTAGGGCAGGGCAGAGACAACAGACCACAGACTGAGTGCAACCTCAAACGGGCAAACTTTCCATGACCAGAGATGGTGACTGTCCCCTACCACCCCCTGAAAAGTTCCTCTTTAAGAGAGGTCAAAACAAGAAAAACCATAACATCTCCACCTCACAAGTCACACAACACAAAAGAAGATATGTTCCCTGAAGGGACTTGGGAAACAGTTCCCAGGGGATCTGGGCACATATGTGAGAACACCATGGCTCCACCCTCAACATTCACTGGCTCTTAGCTGTCTGCCCACAGTTTATCTTAGGATTTTATCCCAAAGACTGCCTGACATGATTGGAATGCTTGTACCCTAAGTGTGGGCCTTTCTCCCCTCCATCCCCACACTTCCCCACCCCAGTTCCCAGGACGGCTGCTCTAATATTGAGAAGAGCTCCAGTGTCCTCCAGGAGACCAAAGCAGACAGCCATCACTCTGCGTCACAGCCCCAGTACTGCCCAACCCCATGCTGTACATGTTGGAAGAAAATGCTGGCCTGCCTTGCCATCTCTGTCCCCAAGAGCCAGGACCAATGGGGGTCTGTGGGACTTTTAGGATCCTTGGTGTTCAGCACTAGCTTCTGGCCAAACACCTCCCAAGGGGAAGCTGAATCAACAAACCTTTCACAGAAAACCCCATCATGGGAAACCAAAGCTACAAAAATGCCCTTCGAGTCCCTCATGCCTAAGATTAAATCTCAGATAATACAATAATATCACATGCTGCATTTAATTGTGTGCTAAAGCATTAACTCGGGCTCTTAACGCTCCAGTGTACCATGCAAGTATTAGTGCTTCGAGCGTGAGGATGAAGAGACGACCAAGGCGGTTACAACGTGAGAGAACTGTGGCTCAGCAGAGAACACAGTCAGCAGAAGAGGACTGCACTCACACTCGGGATTTGGGGGTGAAAGAGGGTCCAGGAGGACTGGCAGATTGGGTCTCTTTCTCTATCTGGCTGCCCAGCCTGTCTCTGTTGCAAAGGTGAGCTTCTTGAGGCTAAGAGGCAAGTCATGCGTCTTTGTCCTGGAGCAAATTTTCCCCTTGCCTTTAAGAGCTAACTTCATTGCAGGGAATTTTACTCCCATGAGGAAAATGCTGATAGGATGAAGCTGCACTCCTGTATGCAGTGTTAAATCAAACGGCTTCTCTGAAACTTCCAGTCTCAAAGAGGATTTGAACTAATAAGAAAAGAGTGACACTGAAGATCTTGGTAGACCAGCATTGTCCGCTTACGATGGAGGGACACAAAATCTAAACCCATTAAGAATCTGGTTCAAAGCAGATAGGGCAAGGCAAGATACCGTGACTTGCAGTCATTTCTTCCCTGAGACTACGCCAAGAGGAGCTCCTGGGAAGTTGTGATGCCAAGCCTAAACTCCCCACCTAAATTCCATAATGCAGCTTCCAGGCGCCAATGTTGAGTTGTTTGTGGGGATGAAGACAGCCGGGTGGAGGCTTGGGAAACCTCATCTGCTGAGACTGACGGTGGCTGGTCCCAGGAGTCAGCAGAACTCCGGCCACGGAGCAGGAGCCGAAAGGCTAAAGCCTGGTCCTAGGAGTGGGGGAAGGTGCACTGACAGCCATGGGGATTTGACATTTCCCAGGTGGGAAGAGCTCTTTGCAAATACTCAGATGTGACTGAAAAGCCGTAAGCCAAATCGTTCCAAGCAGTTCTTAGAAGCAAGCAGCTCTTCTTTTAGGCTTGGGTTAAATGCCTAATTAGATGTCTAATCTGGGGATGCTCTGCCCTTCAGTTCGTCTACCACAAGGATAGGTCTGAGGATCCTCACAGCTTTTTTATGTTAATTGCAGAGCAAATAAGCCTACTCACTGGGCTTTCAAAAGGGAAGCAAGGTTTTCTTCCTGAAGGTCATCACTATTGTGAGCACTCTGAGTAGAGAAATGCTAAGTCCTGCAGAAGGTATCTGAGAACAGTGAAGACGAGGTTCTGAATTCCGCAAAACATCTTCTGTGCTACAGCTCTGTGTCCCAGAGGGTTAAAACACTCGAGTAAAAGTTACTGCAAAGTGGAAGCTCTTCTCTGGCTTAAATGAACTTGTTCTGGTGCTTTCACATGCAGAAATGAGAACCATTCAAGAGAGAGGTCTCGGGTTGGCTGAAACAGTGGAGCAAGGCACCTGGAAGTGATGCATATCATGCATGTGTGGGGGAGAGAGAGGGAGAAAGGGGGGAGAGAGGGAGAGAGAGGGAGAGAGAGGGGGAGAGAGGGGGAGAGAGGGGGAGAGAGAGGGAGAGAGAGGGAGAGAGAGGGGGAGAGAGGGGGAGAGAGGGGGAGAGAGAGGGGCAGGGAGGGAGAGGGAGGGAGGCGGAGGGAGGGGGAGGGAGAGGCGGTGGGGGGGGAGAGGGAGTGTGTGTGTGAGAGACAGACGGACAGAAGAGACACAGAAGAGACATACATTCTCCACTTTCCTAAGCTTTCTCTTGGCCTATTACTCTGTAAATAAAAAGAACAGTTCCAAAAACAGAGTTGAAGGCACTTTTTGAGCTTTTTTCAAAGAGGAAGTGGTTAACCAAGTTCAAGTGAGTTTCTGTATCTGCCTACATTTCATTTACAATAGGAAGGGCAGGGGCAGGAAATAGAAGGACTGTTCCATGTCACTCACTTTCCATATTTTTTGGTGGCAAAATGACCAATGTATAGATGGCAAGTGTTAAGACAAGGACACTTTTTACAAAAGAACAAGTACAAGTAAAAAAGTCAACAAATCTAAGAAATGAAATCCCTCAAGGCACACAGGAAGCAGCAGTCCACAGTGAAGGAATGGATAAGTTAAACGAAAGCCAAAAATACACTTTGCTGCAGGCTCCACTGGGAACTGACTCATGAATATGCAACAAGTGTATTTATGGCCTTCCCTAAACACCTCCCTCCCATTCTCTGCTAATCAAAAGGCAGGACTGCCTCACAGGGCCTTTGGGCTTGGCATGGAACAGTGGTTACAACGATCTCTCTGCGTAGGTGGAGTGAGGGGAAATTGAGAGGGGCTGCCCCATAGTGGTGAACTCAAACCTGGATTAAAGGAAAGCAGTGAGTAAACAGTGGAGCAAGTTGTGTTCTGGGGTGATGGGAATATAGGTTAAAAAACAGTGTGTGTGTGTAGACGTCCATAGACACAATAGTCTGTGTGTGTGTGTGTGTGTGTAAAATCTTTAACATCTCCCATTGTAGCACAGAGCATGGCGCCACGCAGAGCTGGGGGCAGGGCGGAGCTTACCGGAATCTGCTGGATCTCCCCTGTGTTCGTGATGATCTGTTGCATCACCTGCATGGTCTGTCCACTGCCGCTCTGGGCCTGCTGGGCTTGACCCTGAGGCTGGGCCTGGACAATCTGCACCTGCTGACCTTCTCCGACCTGCATGGTCACGGGTGTGGTCTGGAAAGAGGGGTCATGAGAAAGCTGACTGAGCTCTTACTCAGAGCCAGCAGGCTTACCAAGGGGTTAACAGGGAGCACTTAACTAGGAGCAAACCCCCTCCATGAATGCCCGAACTCATCTCAACTCTAACAAAAATACTCAACCTACAGAGTCCTCTGGGCTTAGAGCACTGTTAAAAAGTCCCTCTCCAAAATAAAAGATGGGAAAGCCAAACAGATTTTTAGGCTCGTAGTACAGAACATTTGCCTAGGCCCCAAACATCTCTATGCTCCAAATGTTGCGCCTTTTCACACCCCTTCAATGATAGAAAGGCACAAACGGTACAAAAGAATCAAAAGCAACCATGATAGTTCACTTGAGAAATGGCCAAATTCAAGTGTGGAGCAGGAGAATTTGAAGGGCAAACTAAATGGAAGGTGGGGTCAGTATGAATTTACTAAGTTCCGGATCCTGGCTCCTCCTTAGGCTGCAAGACACTGGCAGGAAAATTAAGTGCACACTGGCTTTCACCCTCATTCAAGCAGCAGAGCAACTCCAGCCCACACTGGCCAGCTCACTGCCCTGGATCACAACACAGCTTCGCACAGGAGAGGCAAACACCGTTAACAACTTGACGGTCTTAAGACCTGGATCTTAACTGAGGCCACCCCTAAGTAACAGAATTTAAGAACGTAAGAACTTCAACTTTCTAGAAACAGGAAGCTCAGATTTAAGAAATTTCTGTCACTGACTTGGCAGGTTCTGCGTCTCTCGCACACAATTAGTGGACTGTAGTCCTAGGAAACTTGCTCCTTTGAGAGACGCTAAAGACTTGAACTGTCAAAAAAGTCGGTCAGTCATTTCTTCAAATCTCAAAATTTTAGCCCTAGACATGACCTTCACAGATGACCTGGAGCACTGAGCCCAGCATATCTTGCTCACCTGGTGGTGGTCGTGGGTGGTGGTGATGGGGGCGGTAGTGGGAAGAGGGTGAAGACTTTAAACTACACCTGAACCCCCAGCCCCCCGATTTGGACATGATCTCTCCCCACTCTGAATTAAGAATCAGCTTAATAAGAAGACTCTGGGAGTCTCAATGAATCATGGACTTCAATCGATGTTGCTATTCTGATGCTCTTACATTCTGACTGCATAGGTCTACTGTGCATCTAAAGTTACAAGGGAAGGGGCCGTGTTCTGGGAACTACAGATGAGATTCAAGGGATTACGAGGGAAGGAGAAAGTACTATAAACTGCAGGAGGGTAGGGAAGAAAGATGACAGAGGAATCTATATAAAAATATATGCAGTGAGCTAGGACAATGGCAAACATCTCCCGTTCTCACACCACAATTTGCAACTCAGTCTATTCCTCAAACCTTCAGGAGTAAAAGTTGCCAATTTTATGATATAAAACACAGGATTCACTTAACCAAAATATGCTTTCCTTTTAACTTTAATATGCATTCTGGATATTTGCACTTAAAACAGCCACTACTATGGGTCTAGGGAGGTGTGACACAGCACAAGGCCAACCTGAACCAGCAGGACAGTGAAACAACAGCTGGGAGATGCTGAGAGGGACCAACTTCACCATCCTCATAAGCCTTATCAGCTCCAAACTGAGCAAGTCTGGGGTGGCAGAGGAGAGATGCAATTCTCACTGACTGAAAAAAATGCACATTGCCAACTCATCACTGTACTGTATTAACCAAAATTTCCCAAGAGGATTGCCAAGGTATTTCTAAATCATTTCAGGAAAATGAGGACTTGTGTTAGCATGGCAACTATCAAATCACGTATGGTGTGCCCTGCTGTCGGAGCACAACAGCCATGAGCTCCTTAGGATGATCAGGCAATCAGAGCCCGTCCTTGGCAGCCTCCCTTGAAGTTCGCTCTCTAAAGGAATCAAGCCTTTGGCAGGTAAAGCTCTCGCCACTGCAAAGGCACAAGCATTAGCCAAAGAAGACCCCTTAGACATCATGGTGCAGTGAACACCTTGAGGCAGGGACTGGGCTGCGACCGCCTTTTAGCCCCTCCTGCCTAGCATGGTGTCTAGCAAATAGTAAGCGCTCAATAAATGTCTGTTATTTGGATAAAAAAATGAACAAGGACTAAATCCTAAAGTCGTAATTATTTAAATCTACCTCTGCCTCAATTTTTTTCTTCTAGGCAAACTCAGTTCCTTACTAGAATACACAAGGCTGTCTAGGACGTGTCCTCTATCTTTTCAACTTGCCTAGATGTTCCCGAAGCTGACCTGACCTTCCCTTCACTCCCTGTGCTGTTTCTCACCTCTAAGCCTTTGCTTGTGCTGTGCCCTCACTGGGAAAGCCCTCCTTCCCCTCTTTGATTCATTTCCATTATTTCCTCTAAGACTCACCTTTTTCCCTTCAGGGAACCTTCTCTGACATCCTCTTCTACCACCTCCCTCACATCTTTGTTAGGTACCCCTTTTGAATGTGCTCCCATAACACCCTCTACACAATCCTAAGAATATCTTACACTTCCCACGTGGTGGTATAATCTTTAAGTGTTTGTAGCCCCAAGTAGATGTGAATTCTTAAAAATAGGGACTGTTTTATTCATGCTTATATCCCCAAGACATAGCATAGGACTTTATCTACAGAGGATGCTCAATAGTTGATGAATAAATTAATTAATGATTGACAGGAATTTGGACTTAAGAGTTCTCTGTAGCCTCTCATGATCCCAGCAAATGTGGATGTTACTGCCCTCACAACAATACTGCTGGGGAGAGAGTGAGTCTTCTGATTACTATTGCAAAAAGAGAAGGTCACTTGACACAAATATGGTAGGACAGAGGAATGACGGGGAGACGGGAAGGAAAGGTATGCAAGCTGGTAATGATGTCTGACCTCCTTCTTAAGGGTACAAATGCCAATTCTGGTGCAGGCACACAGACAGCAGGCACGGAGTCCACTTAAAATTCTTTCTACAAAGATGCCACTACTCTTCATAAGGGCATTATACTTTTTTCCTTCTAAAATTTCTTAGCTCATAGGGATCCTGAAGAACATCTTGTCCACCTCACTTTCCTCATCTGACCCATGAGGAAACCAGGACCCAGAGAGATTAGGATGACATGTCATCTCAGTAGCTGAATCTGGGGAAAAGTCCAGGTTTCCAGACTTCAAATCCAGTGTTCTATGATGATTTGACTCCCTCTTTGCTCTAGTCAAGCTCTTCCCATCCCAAACCTAAGAGAGGCTATCTTGCTGTGCAGGAGCCCTCCAGAGCGCACAGACCTGGCCCTGCTGAGGCTGCGCGATGATGATCTGCCCAGGCTGGATGGTGGTTGTGGAGCTGGTGGTCTGCTGGCCTTGCTGCTGCCCCTGGACTTGGACGGCAGTGGGCTGCTGAGCCAGCGTGAAGTAGTACTGGACGGGCTCTGCAGGAGTCACAGACTGGCGCACCTCCTCCTGTGGGGTAGAAGGAGAGGCAGGTAAGAGGAAAAGAACTGACTCAGCAGCCGCCACAGTGAATTTCCATTCTTCCCCCAAACAGGCTGTGCGCAGTTGCCTGCTGAATGCTGAGCTCTCCACATTTGAAGCCAAGGGAAAGTGGAATTCGAAGAGACCGGTTGTGCTAAATCAAACTAAAAATAACAGATTCCATAGGCTTCACAAAACATACAGCCAATTTTCTGAAGTACAGAGTAATCACCCATTGCGTGATGAGTTGCAAATGAGCAAATAATTACCGTAACTAAAACCACGCACCAGCAGTGCTTGTCAGTAAATGCTGTCAAGGCCTGTGATCTGACAACAGTGCTAATTGCGAGCACTGGGAAGATGCTACCCAAACATCATGCTCTCAGGCCGGCTCCAATCTCCCAAAGAGGCAGTACTCTCTTAATTTTGTTCTTACTACCTCTGAAGGGGCAGAACAAGGGAAAGGGAAATTGGGCTTTTGCTGGGTTGCAATTTCGGAATCAAAGGTCAGGATCAAGAGCACTGGTAGGCAAGTGCCCAGCTTTTCACAGCACACGAGAGCTCTGTAGTCACTGAGGGCCACATCTCTCCAGCGTCACATCGGGTTCTGGTTGTACTTAGCCGCAGAAGCGCAACCCAGGGGGCCTGAGGGACAGCTCTCCGCTGGGGTGCTGCCTTGGCTGACTAGGGAGGTCGCATTCTGTCCAGTCTGCTGAGTGAAGAGACTGTTCCTTCTTCAGTGGACGCTTTCCATGGCAGAAGGAGTAAACAACCCTCTCCCAGCCACCTTGAGCTCACAGCTGAGAGTGTAGGATGTTTACACACACTACAGCATGGTTACAGCCTCAGGGTCCGGGGTTGGTCAGCCCCTGACCACCGACACAGAGATCGGCGTCCGCTCCGGAGGGCCCTGTGACACACGGTGCCCCTGCCTGGGACAACAAAAACAACAGAAACATACAACAACTTGGCTGGCTGAGCAGAAATATTAGCTAAATTTACTCACTTCCTCATTCTGGGCTAAGTTTGCCAAGTTCAAGAAAAGAGGAAAAGACGCTTCTTTAAGGTATAGAAACCCTGTGGACTGCCTCAAAGCTCCCCAAAGTGACATTTACAAAGTTGGTGTTGACTCCATCCCCTCACTAGGTTAGGTGCCCCAATCTGTGCTTTCACAGTCCTTTCCTCATTACACTTCTGTACTTCCTTGTCAAATTCACTGCCTTCCCTGCTAGAATGGAAGCCCTAGGAAGGCAAAGCCTAATTTTCTCTTGCTCCCCACTCTCCCTGCCATTCATTCCCTTGTAGGCACTCACTAGGCACAAGGTGAACGATGAATGGATTTGTAGGAACAGGCAGACAGCTGGAGGTAGGAAAGTACTTTTTTAACCCAACTATGTAGAATGACAAAGTCTCTTGAACCCAACAGCTGTTACCAATAGAAAGAGTCCCTACACAATCTTTGCCTACCTCTAGAATTCTGTGGCCGTACTGTGGGGAGAAGTGCATGTCCCCTATAGAAGGGGACCTATTCTTTTGCTTGCTTGGTGACTGGTGGCCCAGGATACTAAAACTAGGACTGCTGTTATCTAGCGTCTGAGAAACTTGGGTTTCTGCATGATGAGGTTCCCTGATGGTCATCCACCCAGCCTAGGCAGACACTTGCAACATTCTGGGTTTCTAAGCTGGTTTTCAAACATGAACCAACTTTCTAGGTTAATGTATTCTGTGCTTCAGACCCAAACAGTGTGAACCCTGAACATGATCATGCTGAGGCAGAAGAAAACGGAGGCCCCCTTTTATTTTCATCTAGGTCTCAGTTTCCAAAACAACTTAACTGTGACAACATCACCTCCATTTCAATTCCAACTTCTCAGCATTATAAATAAAGGTCAGCCTGTCAACTAGATCTTGGCTGAGGCAAGGATAAAATACTGATACCCTGCTTAGCCAAGAAACAGAGGCCAACTGCTCTTTTCAAAGCTCTTAAATAGGTTCAATGTATTTATTTGCCACTGAGATCTCCCTTCCCATTTTATAAAACACATCAATCACTAGAGCCCAGACCTAACTTGAAAAAGCCGTTGGGTGATGAGAGGGTACAGAGGACTGAGACTCCAGAACTTGTAGGAAGTCAGGGCCTAGGGAGGAACTCCCTGCTCTGCCCTGTGATTGTTCTGTCTCCAATTATTCCTGACTGCAGCTGATCTGCAAGTGAATATGGCCTTTTTGCCAGATAAAAAGCAAACTTTAAATACCCCTTTCAGAAGCCAAAATACCCCACGCCAAAAGCTGTGAGAGCACATAAAAAGCTTTCCCATGCTGCCTACTATACCCTCTTAACTGTCTATGAACTAGGCAGTGACTAGGACACTGTGTGAGTATCAAGCAGAGGCACCCAGGTTTGTGTTGTGAGAACAGGCATGACTTTCTCAAATCTCTCCAACGGAAGGAGGCACATCTAAGGTTCTTCTGCATTATGAAGACTCATTCTGCCAATGACCTAGCAAGGGAATGATTATGCTTGGTTTAAAGAAATGGGTGAAGAGAAAATGACACTTCAATGGGCAGGTACTTTCAACTCATAGCTTTAGTGGGATAGAAGTCAGGCCTCAACTACCTTCTGCTTTCGAATGCTCTTTACTTGCTTCCCCAAAGGACAAGAGAAATTCCCAAGCAACTCTGAGAAGTCAAGAGCCTTAGATCCGCAACTCAATATTTCCAGCGAGTTCCTTTCCCCAGCAGTGGGACATCACCCAAGCACTAAAACAATCTCTGAATGATTGGATTAATCTAGAATGGGGCAGTTGCCCAGCTTTAGCAGTGGCCTCCCCAACCAGAGGGCTTGCTCTTGGAATCTTTTCAGAAATGGAGACTGACAAATAATGCCAGAGAATGAGCAGCATTACACCCTAGGGCCATCACTACAGTGTTGTGCAGCCAGCCCCAGACTAGAAAACAGTATATTCGCTTTAGTAGCAAGAGTGAACTGCTGCCTCCTTCAGAAACGGTGAGTTTTGGAGAGTAGGCGCTTTTAAAGGACTAAGGAGGTGCCAGCCAATTTGGAGCTTGGGAAAACTTCGTGTCTACAGAGGATTAAAAGTGCTATCTTAGAATTTCAGACCAGCTTTCAGCAATCTCAACCTTTCAAAGGCCAGGCAGCAGCTGTCCCGAATAGGATGCCAATCAATGACTTAAACACCTACAAAGAAGCGAATCCAGGCAGCAAGGAGCTGTTTCAGCTAGACACACTTTAAAGGGAGATGGATCACAGCATCTTGAGTCAGGCTCGGATGGAACAAGGAGCTCTCTGACACCCTGAGAGAGCCAAGCACTGAGGACTCTGGAGGAAGGGACAGGACACGACCCTTCCCTCCAGCCAGTTGGTTCAGCAGGCAGCCCACAGAGAACAAGCAGGAGTTAGCACAATGAGCGTGAGCAAGATCTGACTTTGTCACAGAACCTACCACCTTGTTTTTAAAGGGGGCCTCTGAAACAAATTTCAACAAGGAGAGCAGGTGTATGGTATCACTTGTTTTGGAACGAAGAGAAGTGGTCTGAGTTCTCGTCGTACGGACTTCTCAGAGAGGAGGGAAGCACCCCAAGAGGAGGAATTGAGCCCATGGGCACAAACCTACAATGTCTCAAGGGTGATGCACAGCCGGGGACGACCGTGGCAGCCTGCCGCTGTAAACATCCGACTGAAAGCTCCTCTGAACACCTTACAGCTTCCAGTCAAGGATGTTTACAGTAGCAAAGACTGCCCAGAAAGAACGGAGACGCGGTGAGGCACCCTGCTCTACTACGGAGGCGACAGAGGGCTTGCTAATCCAAAGGCCTCCAGGCAGGGTCAGGATTACAAATGTCCTTTAGGATGCCCACTTCTCCTACACTTTCTGACTGGTTATTAACATGAGACAGCATGGGAGAACGGTTGTCACTGTATCACTCTGTTTCTAAGGTAATATACTCTGAAACAATTAATTAAAAATACATAAAATTTTATTAACAAAACAAGCAGAGGACAAGGCACAAGCTTTGCTCTTGCCAGACTCTGCCACTATTCCCCAAGTGTCTCTACTACACTAATGAGTCATGCAATCTGCATGCCTAAAACAATGAGCTATATACAGGATAAAGGTCTATTACAATCGCAATTAAGAGCTTTATGCACCCAAGGTGCTGAAAAACAATCGATGTGACCTTTGGAGAGGAGCAGGCAGAAGAGAGAGAAAGGCAGACATTCACATACTTTCTCATGATTGCTTAGAAAGCGGTTTAAGTGGTGGTTCTCAAATTTGGTTGCACATTAAAAGCATCTGGAGAGCTTTACAAAGTACTGATGCCTGGGCCTCCCCCTCAGATTCTGATTCAGCTGGAGAGGGGTGGAGCCTGGGCACTGGTCTTTTTTAAACCCTAACAGGTGATTCTAATGTGTAGCCAGAGCACTACATAGAGAACCTCAATCCAGAGAAAGAGAAAATCAAAGTCCACTCAGTCCAAACACCACTGTGCACAGAGAGAAGCTGTTTCTGAAAAATCTAAAATCTGTAACTCACTGGGAATATTCTCCCAGCCCAGATTAAGAACTCTAATAAGACTTTCTAGGATACCCTGAAATGAACTTTACTGTTTGTACTAAATTCTTTAATTTTCATTTAGTTCCTTTTCACTGAAATACCTCAGAGGCACTGAGTTAAAAGTATCCATAAATGAGTAACAGAAGGAGATGTCAAGGATGGATCTGGTCTAGAGAAAGAGAAGCAAACGGAGTAGCAGCAAATGACTTGTGCTGAGAAAGGAGGAGCGTATTTGACACCAGTGTGCACGGTGCTCTTCAGTCAGCAGCAGCAGCAACGCCTTCTCAGCTCACCTGACGCTTTGGAGGTTTCAGTTCATCTCTTGGAACAATATCGATGAGAAAGTCAAACTGATCAAATTTTGTAATTGCCATGGCGATATCATTCCTCTGCAACAAAGAAAAGCATATAAAATTAGCCTGGGGAGAAACAAGTTCACCTGGCTTTATACCCTCCAAGTTACAAGCAAACTAAGATGAAGACTCCTAAGCCTAACTGAATACCCATGGTCAAGTCTGTAACTGAAATAAGCACAGCCAAACTCTCACAAACTTTAAATGATCAGACCTGACAGACATAGACAAAAAAGAGACACATTTGTAGAGCTCAAGCTCTACAAACTGGATATTTGAGCCTCCAACTACTACTACCTCTGCCGGATCCTGTCCCAAGCTCCTATGATTGTTACATCATCTTTCCCCAGCTCAATGTGTACAAGTCTAGCAACCTTAACTGGCAGGTTTCTGGTCAGCCTGTGGTGAGCAAGCTTAGGCTATCCTTCAATTTTATAAGCTTTTTACGGCCCTAAATAATATTTTGCCTCTTTGGCTCACAAGTAGTTACAATGTTTTGAATTGCTTAGCTGAAATCCTAACAATAACTTTTTGCAATATTTTCTAGTCACTGGATTTACATATGGCAGTTCCCACATGCTATGATATTTATTTTGGAATTCAAAACCACAATATTAAATCCCTGGTTTAAATCTTGCTTAATGTGATATGAATATTGGAAGTCTGAAGTTACTAGAATAGCCAGGAGTTGGTAGAGAACACAGGAGTCAGGTGACTAATGATACTGAAACCCAGACCTGCTCCGATGGGGTTCTTTCTAAGAGTGACACTCTCTTTCTTTAAATAATAAAACTAAGAGATTTTTAAGTTAAAAACCAACACACTATGTATACTCAAGATTTGTGTACTTCACTGTATGAAAATTTTTAAGCAAAAGAAAAACCAGGAAAAACTAGTGAACTCTATCTAGCGAAGGATATGCATGTTGAAGTGTTTAGGGGAAAATAAACTTTGAAATGCATTTAAAAATAGAGGACTTGATGGACAGAGGGATAGACAGATATGAGGATAAAACGAGTAAAATGTTAACGGTAAGATCTGGATGCTGAGTATACAGGTTTTCACAGTAAACTTTGCTTATGTTTGAATTTTTTCACAATAAAATGTTAGGGGGAAAAGTCAACATGCTAACAGAAATCCTTAGCAACCTCTATATATCACATCTTAAGAGAGGGTGACTCATCAGACAAAATAGAAGGGGATGGAAATTTTCTGTTTTTTCCTTCCCTTGTCTCTGTGATGGCCCCAAGCCACTGAAATGCAAAACTCCGATCCACCCTTCTTGCCAGGGACCAGTTTGATAATAAACCCTCCCAACCGGAGCAGGGCGCATCTTCAGGCTGCCAGGTCACTAAGATTAGTACACCATAGTATCACATTCTTGGTGATGTCACTTACTCAAGCTATCTAAATAGCTCATCTATGGACAGAATGAGGGGGAAAAAAGAAAAAGAAATATCATTACCTCCAAACATACACCAAAGCGTTCTACAGGGTTTTGTTAACATAGATAAATTGGTCTTAACATTTTTGTTTTGCCTTTTTTAATGCTAATATTTTACTGAATTATTATTCATATTCAGTAAAATACAGAAATCTTAAGTACACAGCTTGACGAATTTTAATAAATATATGCACCCAGGTAGCTATCATCCAGATAAGAATATAAAGTTTCCCTCTATCCCTTTCCAGTCAATGACCCTCTCCCCCAATCTGAGGAAACTACAACTCTGATCTCTGTCATCATAGAGGGAGATGGTGTATGGTATCATGTGCTATGTAATTTTTTTCTCTAGTTTCTTTTGCTTAATATATTATTGAGATTCATCTACATTGTTATATGGATCCATAGTTTGCTTCTTTTTATTGTCGAGCAGTAACCTGTTTACGGAATACATCAATTTGTTTACATATACATTTTGATGGATACTTGAGTTGTTCCCAGTTTTTGACTATTATAAATAAGGCTGTTATGAACATTCTTCTACAAGAATGTCTACACTTTGGGGGTACACCCAGGAGTAGAATGGCTGGGTCATAGAGTTGGGATATGTTTAACTTTACTAGAAAGTGCCAAATAGTTCTCCAAAGTGCTTAATGTCTACCACTTTACATTCTGATCAGCAATACAGTATATGAGTTTCAGTTACTCCACTTCCTCGCCAACACTTGGTATTGTCAGTCTTTTTTATTCTAGCCATTCTAGTGGGTGTCAACCAGTATCTCACTGTGGTTTTAATTTGTGTTTCCCAGATGACAAGTGATGTTGCACACCTTTTCATATGCTTATTGGTCATTTGGATATCTTCGTTTTTGAAGGGCCCTTTCGAGTGTTCTGCCCATTTTATGGTTTAACCTGAATTGATCGTGAAGGTAGCTTTAATCAGATCTCTCTAGATCCATAGACTTCCTTCAAAGCAGCATTCAGTGTCTAGCTGCAATAGAACGTAGGATTCCCAAGAGTGGAGATTTTTGTCTGTTTTGTGTGTTAATCCCCAGAGCCTAGAACAGTGCCTTGGCACATTGTTAAACGTTCAATAAATATTTGTAGAATAAATGAATAAATGTATGCAAGGAAACAACAGAAGAAAATACAATTTACTTTCTTGGCTTTGTTGTTAAAATACTGTCACTGTCTTATATCTGTCATACTCTTCCTCTTATGTGTGGGAAATCTTTCCTCCAAGAACTACGGCCTGGCTATTGAGGGCAGGGCCTCTAGAACCAATGACCAAGGGGTCTGTCATACAATACAAATGTTGATTTGCTGGATGAAAATAAAAAGAAAACAAAAAAGGAGGAAAAGATTCCCAGAAAAGCAAACAAGAAACAAAAAGCTAACGAGGTTAGTGAGACTGATTCTTCCTGGGATTGTCCTTTCCTGGAGTTTTTCAAGGCTTCCAACCAGATACTATTTACATTTAGAAATATAAAGACTTCAGAGTGTGTTTATAGTGAGAGCTCACCAAGTGAAGAGTTCAGTCACTGAGCTGTTAAAATCATGAGAGAGTCGGAAATTAAGATTCTTGGTGGGGAAATACTATCATGGCTATAAAGTATGCCTGCTTCCCAACAGTCGAGGAAGACGTCAATTACACCTATCGCTTGACGGAGCCCTAAGGAAGAACAATCTTTGGTCCAAAGCCATGCAAGAGAAGCAGACAAAGGCAGCTGCTTGCCCAGTTTTCCCGATGTAAGTTAACAACATTACCTGTAGAGTCCGGCGCTTGTTATCCTCAGTGTGGATCCAGGCTCGAAGAGTCAACTCTGTGATAAAAATCTGGGCTGCCTTGGCAAAGAGCACAGGGGCTTCTGCACTGATCATCTGCAACAGATGTAGGCCCTCCTTGTCAATCACCAGCAAGTCACTCAAACCAGTCACTTTGTCGCTTACCTCATGTCCTGCCACTGGACTATGGGGCAAGGGTTGGAAAATGAGAAGGTGGCAGCCTCAAGACATTCCAAGTAAAATAAATCCACAAGTAGGGACAAAGCAGGTAGAAGAAGGGAAGAGGGAGGAAGAATATTTACTTATCTAGCACCTACCATGCACTTTCTTACTCTCAGAATAGCCTTTCAGGGAAACCAGGGTTTAGGAGAGGTGAAGGGACTGCCCACGGCCATGGAGCCAGGAAGTGGGAGGGTTTAGGTTCTAATCCAAGGAGAGACAATGTGGGGAAAGATAATGACTTTGAGAACCAACAGATTTAGGTAAAATCTCGGGCCTCCCATCCTTTTGGGCTTTATTTTTCACATACTGAAAAAGAGGATAAGCTTCCAATGTTGTTGTGGGAGTCAATGAGGTAATACATGTAAAAGTACCCAGCACAGAGCCTGGCACATAGCAAGTGGTCCAGGAATGTAAGCTGCCTCACCATGCCTCACTTAAGCTCTTGGTCAAGCAAGCCTCTGAACGCTTGGTGAGGTGGAAAGAGCCACGGGAAGAGCTCTGGAGTTAACGAAAAAGGAGATGAGAACTGGGATCTTGGTTCTCCTACTCTGAGTGAGTCACTTTTAACCTCTTTGTGCCTATTTCCATATCTATAAAATGAAACTAATAATTCTTATCCTATCCAATCTAACAGGGTTACTTACGATGAGAAGGAAGTGAACTAATGAAAGGGAAAATAGCTGTGAACTGTTAGCTTTCTACACAAATATAAGAGATTATTAATTTTGAGTGGTAAGGAGAGAGTGTTGCTCTTTTCCTGAGAGAGCTATAATAGGAAGGGACTCCAAGGAATGCAGAAATGGCCACCCCTAAGTGAACCCTCTCATAAGAATAATTCGTGTAAAACAACTCACAGATTGAAAACTCAGCACAGGTGCAATATCATTATCAAACAATTCTTGGAGCTCAGATCAACAAACTAGAGAGTGCAATAAGATGCTAGGAAGATGGTACTTCCTGTTGATTTGATGATACATGTTTATACTACACAGTGAAAAGAACTGGGTGATTCAAAAAGCAAACATTCAGAATCTTTTCAACATCTAGAAAACAGGATGTCTCTAATTTTCAGAGAAGCATCATTAAAACTGTTCAATTTCAGCTCACTTAATTTTAGCTAGGAACCAAATGCAAAAGCAAGAGACAATAATATTTTCATTTCTATTTAATTAAACTTTGAGCTCTAGAGAAATGAGCAATAACCCATCCATTGTTTTAGCTTCAAAATGAATAATAAAAATGAATTGAATTCACCTTCACATCTTCATCCAGTTTCATAATCTTCTTAATACGTGCCAGTGGGAGTTCTTGTACTCGGAAATCTTTCTGAAACGAGTAATGAGAAGTGTATAAATGGCAGGGACAATCAACAGAGCATGACAGGCAGTATGAAACACTCTGATTGGCTTAGTCCTTCCTTTCAGAAAATATGGCAGGAAAGGAGATACTTATGAAATGAAGAAAATACAAGCTCCAGAACAAAATTCTTCTTAACCAATGCAGAGCATCAAACAATTAAAGGGCTTCAGGATAAACTTATGATGGCTTCTAACAGTGCCCTCAGGAAAAGTAGCCCCGAACAGTATCAGATTCTTTGCTAGCACAATATAGAGATGCATTGTGAGTGTCTTTTTCCCCCCAGAAAGTTTACCAGTCTGCAATATGCAGATCAGAATGAGATTCTGCCTCAGGGGCGTTCCTCGAAGTTGCCAGTTCTTTCTTCTCTTCAGGCACAAGGGCACGCGAGCAGCACCAGACCACAGTGACCCACGGTTCTCCAGCCAGCGTGCTATGGCTATTTCTGACCTTTGCACTAACCTAACACCAGAAATTGGGGAGGAGCTCCTTTTCCATCACAGCAGCAAAGGCCTTGTCTCCAAAATATGCTTGGGAGTGGAGGTAGACGAATATGGAAAAAAGCGTGAGGGTGAATGTATCAGCTGCCTTTAGAAACAGCCCGTGCACTTTTTTCCTAACAAGACTGGGCTGGAGGAAACGACATACCTTTACTGTGGATGGGATTTAGGAAAGGTCTTTTTGACCAACACTATTCAATTATTTCCAATTTAAGCTCTTTTCTGTTTTATTCTGATACAACTGGTATTTAAACACATGCCCAGTGATGGATGCAATTCTAGGAATAAAAATCAATTTTGGGTTTCAGAGCCGCAATGAAGAGAAAGGTGCAAAAGCAGAGATTAGATAAATTCAGCAAAATTCCTACTGGGACTAGGTCTCAAATAATTGATTCTATATGTGGTCTGAAAAGTGACTCACCAAACCCAATATGCTCACCTAGGAATTTGTATCGTCACATTCTGAAAGGAGCAGCATTTATTTGAGATTGGGTATAATTAACATACATAAGTGAACTTTCTTTTCCAAAATCAACAGAAAACCTCAATTCTATGTCAAAAAAGGCAGCGGGGCATTTTGGAAAAACATCACCAGCCTTCCCAGAATCCATTTTATGACTACAGAAGGAAGAGCAACTATTAGGAGAAAATGTACACCAAGACATCTAATTTCTCCACTCAAACCCAACAAGCTGCTTGGCTACCACTCACCTCTACAAACTTCCAAACACCAATTTTTCATCTTTCCTTTTCCAAATTAGGTGTCAACATTTTCCATGAAGCCACTACTAAAACACTGGAGTGGCAGAGGCTTACAAGTCCAGTTTATTAAAATTTCACCAAAAGGAGACGGCAGGACACATTCTTTCTATTCTTATTTTTTCTCCTCCTTTTTCATTTATTCACTCATGCAACTCAACTAACAGCAAACGTATGACACCTACTGCTATGTGAAGGATGCAAATCTATTCTTACCTTTGAACAGCTTATAGTTTAAGTGTTAGAGACTGTCACGTACAAACATTATAATCCCCTATCTTGTACTAGAATGGGAGTGTAAAATCCCACAGGGACAAAGGAGGAAATAACCAGCTGGCAATGGGGGATTGGAGTGGGTGAGGGGAGTTAGCAAATGTTCCACAGAGAAGCTGACATCTGAATTATGTTGAAGGGATGCTACAAATCCGCTTGTTGGAAAAGTAAGAGAATGTTATTCAGACAGTGAGAATAGCATGCGCAGAAGCAGAGAGACACAAAAAACATGGCCTATTTAAGTTTTAGATGTATGACCTTAGTACAGAGTGGAGCAGCAGGAAAGGGAATGCTGGACTGAGACCAGACTCTACAGAGATTAAAAAAAAAGCACTTGACTGCAGAAATCAATCACTGGTCTTCCTTCTTAAGTGGCGTATCACACAAATGACAATGCTAAACAGAAATGCCCAACAGAATGCAAGGGATGATAATGCCTTTGGAAGGCCTCCCAGGATGATACACACAGCACAAGATTCTGACCACAAGATTTAGCTCTCTTGCAAGTGTGCTCTCATTTGGCTTGATTATTTAATGTAATTTCCACAAGACCGTTCCAAGATAACTAGAGCTCAAAACTGATAAAAAGGCCTCCTTCCACAACTTGAAAGAGTAAAACATTAATTTTAGAATTTCTATGAGACTATTCTTTGTGTGTGTGTGTTTCTTTATTGAGTTGATAGGTTACAATCTTGTGAAATTTCCGTTGTACATTACTGTCTGTCAGTCGTGTTGTCAGTCGTGTTGATAAACTAACTGGAGAGGGGAGCCCCTTCACTGTCAGTAGGCTGAGGTCTACTAAACTGGCTTTCAATTCAATGTTCCCCTTGTCATTGGCAAACATGCAACTGATGTGAATAACATTTCACTTCTGATGCTGATCCAAGTGAAGGGACAACTGACACATACTTTTTCTTTCTACTCCTGGGAGTGAAAGGTGGAACCAGAGCAGATTCTCTCTCAGAACATTCCCATGCTCCTGACCACAACCAAAGAACAACACTGAAAATGCTGCCATCTGAAACTGCCAAATTTCAAGAAGTCTGAATTCACTCAATGAGAGTTTGGAGCCAAAGAAAAGTCAATGGGTCTCAGCTACACTAAAGAACATCTAGAGTTTCAAATAATGATGAGAAATCTTTTCCAGGCCTAACCAGTCAGGCACTCTAGCAAAGTCAAGATCCTAATCTTCTCTAAAGTAGGTGATTCTGAACCTTGGCTGCATGTTAGAATCATCTGGAGAGATTCTGAAAAACAAGATGCCTGGGCTCTACCCTGGACTAACTGAATCAGGAACTCTAGAGGGTGGAGTCCTGGCATGGTGTTTTCTGAAAAGTCCCCTGGTGACTATGATCCACAATGAGTGTTAAAGGACCACTGCTTTAAAGCCTTGCTACTCAAAGTGAGGACCTTAGACCAGTAATGGCATCACCTGGGAATGCAGAAGAAATGCATAATCTCAGGCTCCACTCTAAATCTCCTAAATCAAAATCTGTATTTTTAACAGGATCCTCATGTGGTTCATAGAGACAGTTTGAGAAGCACTGCTCTACAGGAAGGGTTCAAACAGCCCAACAACCGTCGCCTCCAAATTCTTATTTATCCATTTAAGGTTATCTGATTTGATTGTAATATCAGAAACGTCATTATCCAATCCGGAGGGACTGAAGAATGAAAAGATGTAACTGGCAATTAAAGGAAGTGACCGAGGCATTAAATTACAGCTAACTGAAGGCTGAATGGGACACAGGGAATAAATTAGGGGAGGATTACATTTTTCTTTTCAAGATTCAGCATTGTTGCCTCCCCACGAGCTCCCCAAAAAGACACAGTCAGCTTTTTCTTCCTCACTTTCAAAGAGATCTCGAGGTGTAAAATTCAATGCCAAGAAATCTGTTAACCATTGTTCCCAGAGCTCTGCTGAGCAGGAATACGGTATTTTACATGATCATCCTTGTGTACAATCACTTTGGTGTGATTTTTAACCAAATTCAATCTCAGCTGAACACCACCTGGATTTATGCACAATCAGAGCTTTTAAGAGTGAGAAGGGGGCCGGCCTCGTGGCCAAGTGGTTAAGTTCAGCGCTCTGCTGCGGCAGCCCAGGGTTTCGCCGGTTCGGCTCCTGGGTGTGGACATGGCACCGCTCATCAGGCCATGCTGAGGCGGCGTCCCACATGCCACAACTAGAAGGACCCACAACTAAAATATACAACTATGTACCAGAGGGCTTGGGGAAGAAAAAGGAAAAAATAAAATCTTTAAAAAAAAAATAAAAGGGGCCAGCCTGGTGGCACAGCGGTTAAGTTTGCACGTTCCGCTTCGGCGGCCCGGAGTTTGTTGGTTCAGATCTTGGGTATGGACATGACACCACTTGGCAAGCCATGCTGTGGTAAGCGTCCCACGTATAAAGTAGAGGAAGATGGGCATGGATGTTAGCTCATGGCCAGTCTTCCTCAGCAAAAACAGGAGGATCGGCAGTAGATGTTAGCTCAGGGCTAATCTTCCTCAAAAAAAAAAAAAAAAAAAAAAGAGCAAGGAAAGCATGAAACCATGATGGCCAAGCTGAGATGAAAGATAAATTGCTTTTGCAGAACTCAGACCAAAATGACGGGGACCAATGTTTTCAATACATCATGAAATCTATCATCTAGCAAACTTCAATTACTTGTTTATGGGATAATCTTTGTCCCAGTCTTAGAGAGACCGCAACATCTTATGAATATTCTCCTAAGTTTTATTTACGTTTGGACAGTTTGAACATATAGAATTGTAAAAGTCTGTTAGACATTTTGAGATGTCAACCTAAAGAGACTCTGACATCTGAGGAAGGCTGGTTCTAAGTGCTGTTGAGTTCTGGAAAGCACAGATTAAATGCTAAAATATCTGGTCACGTAACACAGGCAGACGTGCAGTCAGAGAAGCAGCTGCCCGCACGTGCCACAGGCAGTCTTACAAAGACAAAGATCACCCTGACTTTACTGGATGGCATTCTCACCCCAACTTGGTACTGACGCTACTTCACATTAAATCTGAAATGGAGTCGTCTAATTCATTTAAACATTTATTGTGCACCTATCATATGCCAAACATTGTCCTAAGCATCCATCTGATGTAAGAGATACCATAGTAGCAGTTGAGGAGTCTTTTTTAAGGGTACATGGGAGGAAAACTTTAGTTAGCCATCAACAGAAGAATGATTAAAGACAACTTTCTTCCTTGCTCGTCTTTCTCTTCATTCACAAAACCTGAACTAAAACTGAATCCCTCAAAGTAATCCACGTTTAACTTCTGATGGACTAGCTGTCTAGGTACTAAACATTGGTCAACACCACAATCTGGCTTTGTTGGTAATCAAACTTAAATTAAACCTGGTAGGATAAAAATCAAAGCCCACACCCATGTTCACTGCAGCATTATTCACTACAGCCAAGAAATGGAAGCAACCCAAATGGCCACTAACAGATGAATGGATAAACACATGATAAATACACATATACGTGGAATATTACTCTGCCTTTAAAAATGAAGGAAATTCTGCCACATGCTACAACATGGATGAACCTCAAAGATATTATGCTAAGTGAAATAAGCCAGTCACAAAAAGACAAACACAGTATGATTCCACTTATATGAGGTACTTGGAGTAGTCAAATTCATAGAAACAGAAAGTAGAATGTTGGTTACCAGGGCCTGGGGAGACAGGGAAAAGGGGAGTTATTGTTTAATGGGGATGCAAAATGAAAATGAAAAAGCCCTGCAGATCTGTTTCACAACAATGTGAATATACTTAACACTACTGAACTGTTCATTTTTAAATGGTTAAGATGGTAAATTTCATTTTTTTTTTACCATAATTTTTTTTAAAAAAACAAAACTCAACAGAACACAGAAAAGTTAAGTGCAGGGGCCGCTCCGTGGCCGAGTGGTTAAGTTCGTGCACTCCGCTGCGGCGGCCCAGGGTTCGGATCCTGGGCGTGGACATGGCACCACTCGTCAGGCCACGTTGAGGCGGCGTCCCACATTCCACAACTAGAAGGACCTGCAACTAAGATATACAACTATGTACAGGGGGGATTTGGGGAGATAAAGCAGGAAAAAAAAAAAAAAAAGGTAGATTGGCAACAGTTGTTAGCCCAGGTGCCAATCTTTAAAAAAAAAAAAAGAAAGAAAGAAAGAAAAGTTAAGGGTTGAGCTTGAACACCCAGAGTTTATCCCGCCACTTGCTGATCCTGGATTTCTGTTTCTGCACTCAAGCTGGAGCACACACTTGCTGTACTGGCCTAGTTCCACCACACCCCAGGACGGCACTAGCTTTATACCAGGCTGACTCCAGCACTAAAACCTGAGAAGCTTAACCATGAGATTATCCCTGCAAAATATAAACAAAAATACTCCACTCTGACTTTGTAATTTTATTTTTTCCTCCTTTCTCTTTTATATCTGAGACAGTATAGAACTACCACCATTAGACTGCAGAAGAGAAACAATGACTTTTCAGTGGAAATCTACCTGTGAACACAGGCTACTCTGAGAAAGGCCAAATTAAGTTAAACTGATGAAAATCCCCCATATAAACAAACATGACATCCCACAGGTACATCTAGAATATGATTTAGTTTTTTCACCCCTGAAGTCAGTGGGCATGTATCACAATGAGAAGTTATTTTGTTCAATTTATTCATTCATTACTTGTTTACAGTCTGTCTCTGCCACCTGTGAGTACAATGATCTGGTCTGTCTAGTTCACTACCAGATCCACAGGATCCAGCATAGCCACAGGAGGTGCATAATAAGTATTTGCTGAGTGGAAGAATAAAGTGACCTTGTACGTCAGAGGTTAAAGGCCACACTAACTCTAAGAAATTGCAACTTTAGTTCTACATTAAGAAGGAATCCAGCGCCTGCTCTGCCAGGATGCTAATACCTTGAGGGCAGGAATGACACATCTAACACAAAGAGTTCCTTCAATATTTGCTGAAATGACACCAAATGGAACATTCCTCATTAAGGACATGACACTATGCTCTGAAAATATTCCAGTTCTAACCCGTCTCACTTCCTGCTACCACTGTTACACCACTTTACTCCTATCCCACCCACACTACCCACATATTAACCTCTAGCCCACTCTGAACTTCTTGCTGTTTCTCTAAACATAAGGCCATCCCCTCTGGGCTTCCATGATTTACAAATGCCCTTCTCTTTGCCTAAGAGATATTCTCCTATCTTTTCCATCTAGTGAATGCTTACTCATATTTCAAGACTCAACAGAAATGTCTCCTTAAAACTTCCTTAAGTCAACCAGTGAGACATAAGCACTATGTCCTCTGTGCTCCCACAGCACTTGGCCTTTTACTGCTTCAGACTCAGCACTGTGCCTGACTCAGTCAACACTTAATACTTATTGACTAAATGGCTCTGATTGTAATTACTAGACTGTAAACTCCTCAAGGGCAAGGGTTATATTTGATTCTTCTAAGTCAGTGGTTGTCAACAGGGGATGATTTTAGCCTCCAGGAGACATTTGCCAATGCCTGGAGACATTTTTGGTTGTCACCACTAGAGGAGGAGTACTACTGGCATCTAGTCAGTAGAGGCCAGGGATGCTGCCGAACATCCTACAGTGCACAGGACAGCCCCTCACAACAAAGAATTACCTGGTCCAAAATGTCAATAATGCTGCAGTGGAGAAACCCTAATTTAAGCGTATCTTCTAACACCTGAAAAGAGTACCTGCTTACAACAGATCTGTTGTTGAATAAATTGCCCCGTAGTTTTCATCAGGCTCTAGAAATTTGGCAGAGCCATTAAAGCAGGCCTGAGAAATGAGCCACAGCTACTGAAGGAAAGTGAGAGCTCTGCTTTTCTGTATCCTCTAAAAGATATGCCTCACGTCAAACTACCTCCAAGTCAAAGCATCCACAACACACTCATACACCTAAGGAAAGCCACTACGATACAAGATGATCCTTGTAGTTACCTCACCTAAGGTAAATTATATTTTCATTTTCCCACCCACAGGTCAGGAATGAACTACACCTTTGTAAATGTGCTTGAGATTAAAAATGTTTTAGTCTGGGGCCGACCCAGTGGTGCAGCGGTTAAGTGCACATGTTCTGCTTTGGCAGCCCGGGGTTCGCTGGTTCGGATCCGGGTGTGGACATGGCACTGCTTGGCAAGCGATGCTGTGGTAGGCGTCGCACATATAAAGTAGAGGAAGACGGGCATGGATGTTAGCTCACGGCCAGGCTTCCTCAGCGAAAAGAGGAGGACTGGCGGCAGATGTTAGCTCAGGGCTAATCTTCCTCAAAAAAAAGTTTCAGTCTAAGTTTTGGTCATTCATCTCATGGCTCTTTACACTCTTTAAAAGCTTCTCATTCTTTCTTACCACTGTTAAATTCCGGATTTCTTCCATGACTCGAGGCCAGAAGGACTGTAGGCTCTGCTGGGCATCACTGCTGCTAGTACCACCAAATCCTCCTTCTGTGGACATTCTGACAACTGAAAACACATGCACGAGAAAATCAGAAATAATAAAGTCAGACTTTCTGTCCAGGTTATTTATATCTTTCCTTGTGGATATTTTCACTAATTCATTAAATTTTTCAGTCCGAGAAGGTATAGAATTGTGCTGAAGAGGTTTTTAACACCGACTTAAATCTTACCAAAAACATATGGAGGAAAGTTTTCCCTTCTATCCAGCTTATACCACAGGGATTATCAAGGAGCTCCAACTAGAAAATCTAAAATTGCTAGAAAACCAAACTGAAATCCTAATGTGAATCAAGAGGTTTTAATGTCTTATCTTGGGGGGTAGGGGAGGAAGGAAGCACTTGGGGTTGCCCTAGTCTGGTCCATAATTTTCAATGCCACCGAAATCGAAAATGCCAACGCCATTCCCTTCAATGTTTGTTCAAGTTCAACGTGGCTTCTCACACTCCATGCCATGGCCTGCAGCAGATATATTAAGCATCCCCAGTGATTAATACTATACAGAAATGTAAACCCAAGGTCTTGAAAAATAAGAGCCAAATTTATTCTTTTGTTTTAGGCACCGTGGCCCCATTTATCTGGGACTGGTGATGATTATTATTCCTTCTCATCTCAAGCTAATCTGCCTCAAAAGAGACAAAAGCACTAAGGCCTAGGCCAATAACTGAGTGGGTGGCACAAAGTCTCTGAACTGAAACTACTTCCCAGCTCATTCCTTACCTGAACCTTGCTGTTAGGCACAAAGCCAAACAAAGTATGCCATCAAGTGGAAGCTTTAAAGATGGTTGAAAAACAATAAGGAATTAAATTTAGGATAGAGAGAAGAGGGTCAGAACCCGCATTTGGTCAACTGCTTTGTGAGGGGGGAGGTAAGATGAATAAGGATCCCCACTTCAACTGTAGATAATATTATAATGTCTTAAAAGATTTACATGGGCAAAGTGGAAAACTCCAGATGCTTAAATGCTTATCTGGCAAATAGTTAAATGCAAGAAACAGTTAAATTAAACATAAAGAATGAGAAACTTAGTGAAGTCCTAAGAATTTCTATTCTGAGAAATTATAAGAAAAGGTTTCAATGGATGCTGGCGGAGAGCTATGTAAGTCATTAAGAACTAATTCTGAAGGGCTGAAAGAAAAGCACCAAAGCCAAGTGTCACACGACCAAATGTGTTATTTTCCAGGCTCCATGTGGCTGCTGTGGGCAGAGCACTCCATCAGCAGAGTGGAATGACGCTTGATAAATCTAGGTTTAGACTGTGAGGATGTTTGATTCACTCTTAAATGTTTGCCTGGGATTGTCCGAGAGGTCTCTGATTTTTTTTCTCTTTTTCTTTCTAAAGGAAATGATGAGAAGAAAGAAATAGAAGGAAAACAAGAGTACAATCTTCAAAGCAGAGTTCACTCTGGTGTAATGACATTAGTGGGTGATGATGTAATGGGAAAAGGTTTTGAGCCAATTTCTGGTGCTGGAGGCCTACGAGCAGCTCTATACATCAAGAGGAACTCTAAGTACTAGGAAGCAATATGATCTCGGAGTTTCTGGAGGGAATTAAAGTGAAGAGTGTTGAATCTCAGTTGGAAATGACTGGATAAAATCTTGAGTCCTAAATAACCAAGATAGTGCCTCTCAACTCAGCTCCCATGACATTTTCACTTATTACCATTTACACATGGCCTACACATTATTCTCCTAGATGTAGTGAGAAAAAGAAACCAAAGTAATCTAAAGAAGTTTAATTATTTTTATTAATAGATTCTTATGAGGTACTCAAGACAATGAGAGTTAAATTTTTTAAAAAATCTTTCTAGAAATGAAAATAATTATCAAAAACTTTAAAAAGAATCTAACCTTTTATTGGATGGATCCACAGACAGGCCTGATCTTAGCAAAATCTGCCATACAAACTGCTACGGTCAAAGGAGGAAGATGCATAAGTGCCAGTGTGATATCTTCAGATACTTGCTAATAATGGGTAGGTTTAGTCTGTGAGATTCAAAAAGCTGGTAACAAGTTTTGGTCGTCCTCTGATCTCTTCCCACAAACATTAAAAGGCACATGATTTAAGAAGCACTTTTCAAACAGCCTGTGAACAGTCTGCTCTTAAATTTTGAATTGCCCCAACTAAGGATGTGCTGGCACAATCAGTTCCCAAACATCTGTGCTGTCAATAGATCATGAATGAATCTCTGGCTGGCTCAGACCCACACACTGTTGGAGTGGAGGTTGAGTACAAAACAGAAGTTAACAAATCTTTCTGGAACTGAAAAATGCATTAAAGGTTAAGTTTTTACTTGAGAGGCCCATATGAATTAGAAAATCACAAATGGATAACAGCAAAAAACACAAGTCAATAATAATGTCCTTTATATTTTACTGCATCATAGAAGTCTAGGACTAAAAAAGACATTAAAAGCCACCTAGGCCCACCTCTCTAAAAGATACAACTCTACTTCAACCTCTGCCCAACTGCCTCAACCCTACCCCAAGTGGTCATATTTAGGCTAAGTATGGAGCCTGCCTCTCCAGTTCTGGGACACTGGCTTACCGGTAAGGCATTCTTTCCCATCTTTGGATAGCTCTGATTGTTCTTCTTTATGTTAAGTTTAATGTACAAACAAAGGTCGCTTTGAGCTTTGGATTTGGAGTTATGGTTTTTATGATTTTTCCATCCAGAAAGCTTTTCACAATTTCCTGACTTCAAAAAACAAAGGTACTCTCCTCATCAGGGACAGAAGATCCTCTCATGAGGAAAAAGAGAAAAAGGTTTGGAGCACGTTTTGTAGCATCTTTGCACAGAGATGATTAGTAGCTAATTTTTTTAATATCTCTTGGAAGAAAATAGTTACTGTAAACTCCTAGAAAAGATGGCTATTTTTATTCAAAAAGCTTCCCTTAAAGTAGATCCAGTCTTTATATGAAGTTTTAAAAATGAGACCAAATTGCAAGCAACAAATTTTATGTTCTCAATATTTTCTAAGGCACAAGATTAAAATAATAAAATCTAATCATAAACACAAACAAATTTTGCCCACCAAACACCCCAATATGTTAAAAATATAAATTAACCTTAGTTAATCTTATCACTTCTTATTTTAATAATTAATACATTGATTGCAACAGATTTGATTTTGCTACAGAAGTGGCCTATTTATAACATCTACAGCCCATGGAAAATATGCCAGGTTCATCTTCCAGGGTGATGAGAGAAGGGACACATTTAAAAGTAAAAAAGAGATTTATAATTCCAGGATCCTTTTTATTCCATGTTAACTTGCTACCTCTACCGCAGGATGAAGCTATTTATAGACAGTTGACAAGGACAAAACTGCCTTAAGTCCAAGCCACATTAGCTTAGATCATTCTTATGAAAAATGCAACACAGAATTTCCCAGATTTAATTCATTATTAATATTAGATTTATCATTCATGTTCATTAATTATTTTATAAATACTCGAATAAGACTGCCTGTTTAACTATTTAGTAAAGACTTAAGGATCAGATAAAGCATTGAATGGTTGTTGCTAGAAGTAATCTCAATTCCCAATATCTATTAATTTATTTGGTTTTAAAAACAGTTTGTGGGGCCGGCCCAGTGGTGCAGCGGTTAAGTTCGCACGTTCTGCTTCTCAGCGGCCCGGGGTTCACCTGTTCAGATCCCAGGTGCGGACATGGCACCGCTTGGCAAGCCATGCTGTGGCAGGCATCCCACATATAAAGGAGAGGAAGATGGGCACGGATGTTAGCTCAGGCCCAGGCTTCCTCAGCAAAAAAAAGAAGGACTGGCAGTAGTTAGCTCAGGGCTAATCTTCCTCAAAAAAAAAAAAAATGGTTTGCTTTCCCAAGTTAGAAAGAGAAGAATCCAAGTCCATCACAAAAAGGCTGTTTCTCTAATGCTCAACTCAATTGCCATCTCTCCACAAATCATCTCTAAATATCCCCATCTGCAAGTGATCATTCTTTCCTGTGAACTTTCAGAGCCCTTGATCTGCACCTCTTTCTGCCCTCACTACATTACCTTGTATGACCATAATTTATGTATATGTCTTACCGTATTTCCCCTTGTGGTGGGTAGGACCTGAGTATGATCCATCTCTGGATCCCTGACAGCATCTAGCACACAGTCTGACAAGTAATTACTCCTGAATGAAGGGTCAAGCAAGTTGCTAGGTAGGCCTTTCCAAGAAAAAGAGGCCTCCTGGAAAGCCTGGCCCTGAAACAGACTTACTGGGATTGTTTGAACCACCAAAAAAAGGGGTTATATAGACTATTCTGGGAAGCTTGGAATAAATGAGGTTCTCTCTGGGCCTTTAAAGTAGGAAGAACTACAATCAGAAACCTACCTGACTTACTGAAGTGAATTTAAGATAACAGGGCATGACAGAAGACACAGACGCACAGACACAGACATATGCGTGTATAAGCACGTGCAGGTGCTGAAAGTTGCAAGGCAGACTAGAAGGCTGGAAACATGGGTGCATACCATTCATTCCCAAGTGTAAATCTTTCTTTCTTTCTTTCTTTTTTTTTTTTTTTAAAGAGTGGCACCTGAGCTAACAACTGTTGCCAAGCTTTTCTTTTTTTTTTCCCCCTGCTTTTTCTCCCCAAATCCCCTCAGTACATAGTTGTATATTCTAGCTGCAGATCCTTCTAGTTGTGGCATGTGGGACGCTGCCTCAGCATGGCCTAATGAGTGGTGCCATGTCCGCAACCAGGATCCAAACCAGTGAAACCCTGGGCCACCGAAGCAGAGCTCGCGAACTTAACAGCTCGGCCACAGGCCAGGCCCTGTAAGTGTAAATCTTTTGAAAGTCAGAATCTTCTTAGAAAGGTGAGCAGGATGGATTAGCAAAGTTTAAAAAATTAATATCAATAGGTAAGTAGGAGGAGAAGGAGGGCAAATACCTCTGTTTTGCCATCCTTTCACAGGAAGATGAGAAAATCATGGAGGAAATGAGATGATTCAATCAGATCACTTAAAAGGTGGACAATCTAGCTGCCACTCTA